GCACGGTGCAACGATGGTTTCAGAGATTTCTTCTTGGAGATTTCGATCTCGAAGACAGGAAAGGTCGCAATATGCCTTCCGTTGTGGACGACGGCCAGCTCTAAACGTTGATTGAAGAAAATTCACGTAAGACGACAGGGGAAATTTCGGAAGAGCTTAGTCACCACTCAACCGTTTTTCACCATCTGGAGCTAATTGGTAACGTAAAGAAGCTCGACAAGTGGGTACCGCTCGAGCTAATCCAACTCAAAGAAATCGACCCTTTGAAATCTGCACGTCTCTTCTGTTGCGGCACGAAAATGATCCATTTCTCGATCGAATCATCGGTGCGATGAGAAATGGATTCTGTACGATAACAGGAAGCGTAGAGAGTCTGTGATTACACAAGGATGAAGCGGCAAAACACTTTCCGAAATCAAATCTGTACCCAAAAAAGGGTTATGGGTACTTTTATTAATGCGGACGCCTTCCAAAACAGTATGTGAATCGAAATTTGTATTAACATGTATTTTTATGTGTATAGATTATGATGGAAAATATTTCGAATAAATTTTCTTAATTAAAAATAGTTTTGACTGCCTTTTCAAAACCTGCATTATTTTTGAACCAGCCCAATATATATGTTATATAAAATATACAGGGCGTTCGGCTACTCGTGTCACAAACTTTGCCAGTAGATTCTACATTTAAAAACGAACGAAAAAGTCGTAATTAACTATGGTCCGAATCTCAGCAGTTTCGGAGTTATTCCACTTTTTGTGATTTTTTACGATTTCACGACCTCGCTTCAAATAAACAATGATAAGATCAAAACTGAAAGGTTTTGGACAAATATGTTAATGCCATTGAACACTACGTTAAATTTCTAATAAGATGTGATCAATATTAAACTTATAAACGTTCGTAAAATATGCGTTTTAGTAGCGAGAACTTTGAAAAAAAAAATTTTTTTTCAAAATTGAAACACTTGCTATGGTGATTCTAAACTACTATTTCCAAACCTAGAGACGAACAAATTTCAGAAAACCTACTTCATTTAATATCCTTATAAGTGGTGCTCGTGCTTTTTTAATTACTTCTTTCAAAGATGAAGATATTTTATTTGTACATAACAGCATTTCTGGGTTTTAACAAAAGAAAAATAACAAATATATTACATAATAAGTAACAAAAATTTTGCTTTAATTATATAATATTTGTACCAATATCGTCTCTCACGCTCTCACTCTCCCCCTCCCTCTCTCTAATAGAGGGTAGTGTACTAAAGGACCATGTCGTACGAAAGTGCAGTAGCTATAATTACTAGAAAAAAAGAAGATAATTCGTTTACTTTGTTTGAACAGGTAGGTAACATCACGATGATAGCCCGATCATTTAATAAAGCGTTAAGCTAAAACATTTAAGTAAAATCTAAACCTTTTGATATTATTTTTCCATGCCAAAAATATATCAGAAAGCTGAAAATTTACTCAATCAGGTTGATTAAGTTTTTGGATATTTTTGTAAATAATAAGTTTCATTGCCGAGGGAATTTTTTCTTGATAGTTAAGTTTAAGTCGAAAAATTGTTTAAACTTTTTTCTTCACTTTATTGCTCTGTAGTACAACCATATATGTCTCAAGTACGGAGGAACGTACGAAGGATCGTTGAAAATTTTTACTTTTCATTATTAATCAGAACTTGTGGTACCAGACCGCATCTCCCGATTTCTGAATAATTATTGATGAACGGTCACTAATCACCACTTTGATAAAAATGAAAACAACTATCAATAAGGAAAGTTTAAAATATGAGAATCGCTCTAACTTTTCTTGAAAAAATTAAATATTTTATAACTATGAGAAGTGGACCTCTACTATAATATGAATCGTGAAGCATACTTTTCTTTTATTAATTTATTCTTTGCTACTTTAGTTGCACAAAAAAATTTATAATAGCAAAACTGATCTGATGGAAAGCAAACGAATATGATTTTAATAAGATAAATAAATACCAAATAACATAAACCACATTACTATTTTATCAGAATTGAACTTCTTCTAAAATCATTTCATAGTTAGAAAGCTCCACGCGATCTGTCGTGTGTCACAGTAAATAGCACTCATTTATTTCTTCATCATTATGATGGTACAAATTTTGTTTTTTCATTATTGTACTATTATATAGTAGGCCAAGGAACAATTTGAAAAATTGACCTCGAAAAATTTAATAAAACTGTATATTAATATAATTGTTATTTGGGAAATGGTTACTGAAAAATAATTGCGTAGAAACTTGTACAACAGAAACACGCCTTAAACTTTAAATAGACTAAATAAAAAATTCCATTTGGCAATGTTGTAATGTACAAAAAGGTTTTTCACATATAATTTTCACAATAATTAAAACGTTTTTCTTAATTTCTAGCAAAGTTAAAAATGACAGGGTAAAAATTCAAGTCAGGTATTATTCCTATTATGCATTAGATTAGCAATCTTACAAAATAAGTGGATATGAATATGAATCTTAATCAATATTAAAATTTAGGAACTACAAAACACCTGCTTCGGCTGTAAAATATCAAATAGAAAATAAGTAAACAATTGGAATAATATTTTAATGTGTTATAATAATCAAACAGAGTCCTGGCCAATTGTTATTAATGTGTATTCTTTATTTATTCTATGTACTTTTTTTCATATAAAAGCCGGCCAGGAAAGAGACAAAACAGTTTAGCTTCTTACAAACATTGTATGTAGTTTCAATGTTTCTGATTTAATAGGGTCATTAATACTTCTGTTAATCTGTTAAGTGTGATGAAAGAGGAATTCTTACCCAGATGCAATTGTTGCGCTGTTTAATAAAATTTATAATTTTAAATACAATTCTTTAATGATAAAGTAACAAAAACGAAAAACAAAACTTGGCCGAATAAATATATTTTTTTTTCCAAATTATATTTTACATTGTTATCTAATAAATTTATTAGAAATATTTTTACTACGTCATCTTTTTAATACCCAATTAATCAAGATCATTTGATTTCATGAAATTGCTATAAAACAAAATGATTCTCTACCCCAATCAGTAAATATGAGAGACTTAATTAATACTTAAATTTAGTTTATTAACATAGACAGTAAGTAATATTTTTTGGAAATACTAATGTACAATAAAGTAAATTATATAAACATCTATGTAATTTTTGTGTTTCTAATTATTAACCACTTCACCCTAATTCATTTGGTCATTTGGCATGACGTGTTTGATTAGTCTGGTTTGATGTTTGATGTCTTCACCTTGGACTGTTTCAACCTCAACTTGGGCTTTAAGTGGTGGGCTAATACGGCTTCCACTGTCTCCATTTTCAGGTCTCGGTTGAGGTCTTCATTTTTGGCGTACCAGGATGAGCTGACATCTCAGTACTCTATTTTGAAACCGTTGGACCTGTTGGTCTCGCTGGCCCGCAAAAGATCTGAATGCCTTAAGGCAACATGGACTGGAGAACCTATTTGCAAAGTAAGAGCTTACATTCAATTTGGAATGGAACATCCCTGCCTATCAACAATACTCTTTCCGGAATTTACAATAAATTCCTAGAGCTGGAAGTTTTACTTTTTAAATTATTGAAATTAGGCATTCATAGCTTTACAGTTTGATCATTGTCATATTCCTTTTACTTCTTTTCTCTTCAAGATAATTTTATTTGCAATCTGGTTGCATTTTTTGGGTTTCACTATATGTGCTTTCCAAAGTTCTCAAACTTATGTAATGTACTTTGGTGCTTATTTTTAGGTTTGGTGTTTAATTTTAGGGTTTTTGAGGCCTCTTGGCCAAGGGTTGTGCTTTTCGAAGAAATCCACACTGCTTAGCCGTACTATCGCGTTGTAGACATTATCGCTATTGTTCTTGAACAAAAGGAGTATTGATCTGGTGTATTCCTAAAAATGAAGCAAATCTTCCATTGAATATGGCACTCGGGTAAGTTGTCACCAAGCTTACTAACAGATACTTTCAAGTCATCGTTAGCCCATCTCTATCATAGAGCTATCGCACGAACCCAGGGATACCACAAGGATGTATCTAAAGACCCATCATCTACACAGTATACATCACAGACATTCTTACCATTTTTTAAACTATCCTCACCACCTACGCGGATAATACCGACATCCAAAGCACTCATAAAGATCTTGTCATTTCAACAAGAAACCTGCAAAACCATGTCACATCTCTTGAGAGGTTCAACAGGTGGACTATGGAATAAAAGTACACAAATGTGAACAAGTCACTTTCACCCTTCACAGAGCCACAGAAACTGTCATGTTAAAAACCTTTCATCCCACACCCTTCCAAGTATTCCTCCCCGAAAGTTGAAGTGTCACTGGCCTCGCAGCCATATAAGTAAGAGTGAAAGTGATTTCTTATTCATGTCTATTTTTTATATTTTTCTTGTTCATTTTGTTTTGTTTGATGATCTCTAAAAGCTTCTAGTAGGGGTGTATGGTAATAATTGATATTTACTTATTGTATAAACACTAAACCATCGAAGAGAGTCATCTTTTCAATTAAAAAGTAGATGATTTAAAATAGTTATGACTAATGATTTGTACAAATGTGAAGTTTATAGGAAAAAGTTTAAATTCAAGAAAACTCGACACATTTTTTCCTAAATTTCAATTCTTCTCAAATATAATGCACTGACTTTAGTCAAATTTCGTTGGACATTAACGTTCGACACACATTTTTAAATATGCGTATACTTTTTATTTATCAATTTGATTAAATGGTTTACGAGAAAAATGCATAAATGTGAGGAGGGTTTTCCCACATAGATAAGATTAGTGTTGTCTGCCGTTATGTCACTTTTACGGAAATTTATTCAAAGATTTGTCGTAAAATTTCTATTGTCATAACAACCGATCATAACAAACAATTCCAAGGCGATAAAAATACATTCCGTTTAAGGCTGTAATCGTCCTAGAAAAAAATAGAATTAATTTAGGGTTAAAGAACAAAAGTTTACTTTAAAAAATTAATACGAATTTAATAACTTATAGGTGTACAAATGTATAATAAATATATAATTATTAATGGATCATGCTACAAAACATTAGACAAATCCTTATCGTTATCGTTGAAGACATTCTTCGACGGCGTCTTCAAGGTGGCGAAGTACTCAGCCACTCTGCCAGATATGCTGCCGTATGGAATGCCCGCTGGAAAAAATTTTTCGATAAATTTAATGCATTTCTTAACCTCTTAACAGTTTCAGACAAAAAATGTATAAAAATAAGAGATTTTAAAAAAATTTAATCAAATTTGACATGGATGATATATATGACCTCAGACAGGTAGTCTTGGTCCCAAGCAGTATTGAGTTGAACTAAGTCATGCTACATTCATACATTATAATTTATAATAAACAAGTAGTACAGCTTTTTCGTAAGTATAAAAAGAAATGTCGACATTTGTTTAAAATTCTCATGTGCATGTCTGGATTAAAATTTAACCAGAAATGTAAATTAAAGTTTATGGTGGGTTTTATAAGGTTTCGGGGTCCGTTTGACCAAATAAATTCTTTTTAATTAATTAAAAAGAAAACCAAATAAATTCTTTTTAATTAATTAAGGTTTTGGTTGGGATAAAAAAGTCAGTGTCACAAGCGGGATTCGAACCCACGACCTTCGGCTAAATACGCCGCTGCTCTACCACTTGAGCTATCCTGACTCCGATCCACTCGGACACCAACTTCCCATCTCAACTCACCTTTCGAATTCGAGTTTATGGTGGGTGTTGCTCTGTGAGATGCTGAATACATGCTTACAGTCATTGTGACACTTACAAGGTCCGTCTACACTCGAGGGTTATAGTCTGTAGTTTGTAAATTTTTTGTACATATACGTTTTTATAGATACTTTTTAAGTAATGCAGCTTCACTCCGCCGATTTGCGAGTGTAGCCGGACCCAGTATGGGACACAGTAATAAATCAGAAGATACCTGCAATTTCAAAAACACTCCATGTAGCACAAAATCATTATGATCAAAATCACAAATTTAAAAAAGAAAAGAAGCTAACCAAGAATGGACGGTTCGTAGAACTTATATATTATATACCACTAGCAACTTCGAAATTCAATAAGTTTGAAACCACAAGTTTCAGTAATGTAAGTAAACTTCATACTTGTTATTCTATTATTTTAGTATTACTAATAGTTTTGAAGTCCTGATGAATGGGATATAATCCTTAAAAGCTTGTTTAAGGAACTGAGTGACTTATCACTGACTTTTGTTAAACAACATTATAATATTAAAGCCTCCTATCAATTATAAAGATAGGTTTATACGTGCGGCTATGTTTGTATGGCAATTGTACATATGAAAATGTCAACGAGAATAATAAAGACATTGTTAATTACTATTTGTCAAAGAATATTTAAATAGTAACTGGCTACATTACATATTGGTTCGTTTTGGTTTCGAAACATCCATTTTTTATGATGTAAGTGTGGTGGCGAAACACAAAAGAGTAATCTCTATTCAATTAACATCGTCCTCTTCTTTTCATTAGGCGGATTTCGTATTTTTATTTTTGTGAAAATTATTTGCTTCAAAATGTTCCCATTGCCAAGCGAAGAATTCTAGCGCAATTAAGACTATTGGGTACCGCACCAATTAGATTCTTTTTTTAAAGGCATTCCATACTCTATTAAATGTACACAGTTATGCACAATCTGCAATTTGAAAGTGAACGAAACTTACTTACGAGCATGCCCGATATATTCGTCTTTAAGAAAAAATATTCGCCAAAATGGTTAAAGAATGCACCACCATTGCTCAACAGTGAGAATTAGTATGGTTATTAATTAGGAAGTGGAATATTAAAAAAAATAAATGACTTTTTTGTTTTATATTGGTTGAAGTTGAGAGCTTTCGTGTTGGATGAATCATGCCTGCCAGGGTTTCTATTTACTTTTCTATAAAGTGAATTGCCATGCTCACCCCACCTCAAACCATTTCTAGAGGTTCTATTTGTCCATAATATAATGGGTAATAATGTGTTGTGTTATATAATTAATTAATATAATTTAGTGTAATAAATAATATTTCAAAAACGTCAAATTTGTTAAGAAATTTATACATATTATTATTATTATTATTATTTTTATGGACGTTTTAACGCTAAGGTCATTTAAATAGCTATAGCTAATCTATCTTAGATTAGCAACATCCTTTGTGAGTACTACAAAGCTCCAACTCTAAACATTCACTCATAACTAATCTATCCTATTGCCATTAAAGCTTTAATTTATCCTTTTAAAATACTTAATTTGTAGGCCAACTGTATGCAAAAAAAATTTAAATTAGAAAATTTATTCCTGTTCATTAATTAGGATTTTGAATTTTTGTGTTGTTCCATAATTTAAACAGTTCCCTAGGCTTGAATGGCCGGCCAATAAGAATAATGGAGTCAGACTAGCAACAGCCGTAGCATACGTTGCAACCCTTTAAGGAAAGTACCTTTCGAGTGATTTAAAAGAGTTACTAGGTCCCCTGTGTTTGTTTCGAACAGCACTTTGTAGCTTTCTTAAATGTATTGGAATTTATAACGAGATTTAGGCCTTTACCCAAATTCTTATATTTTTCAATGTTGGTCTGCTAATGTTTGAATGAGAGTTCTGCGTAAGATTCCTATCTTTTTTTCAGGAATTTTTGAGGTATGTATATGTTTTTGCATTTATAAATTACTGCGATACATATGCCAAAATAAGAAAAAATACTCTTCCTAGCATCCATCATCATCAACATCATTTAATAATAAGCGATAAAACAATATTTACATCTCTTGTACATGCCTATATGTAATGTTTAAAAACTTAAAAACAATAAAATATTATATTCTGTTCTATTCCAATATTAAATATGATATATATATCATAAGAGATTGAGAGAGAGAGAGAGAGAGAGAGAGAGAGAGAGAGAGAGAGAGAGAGAAAGAAAGATAAAGAGAAAGAGAGAGAGAGAGAGTGATGGATGTTGGTAGAGAGCTGTTGTCAAAATATTTAGATTTGGTTCGAAGAAGATTTTTGCGGACCCAAACAATCATCACTGAAGAAGAGTTACTAGGCAACGTTTTACGAATTGTTATTTCAGCAGTCGTCTAAATATTTAAAAAATATTTGTTACATATTGTAAACAAATGCCCATGAATAATAAATTATTTATTGATAATATTTATCTAGCTCAGAAGTAGAATTAAATCCACAATACAAAAATAGAATTAGTAAAATTAAAAATAGTATTAAAGGACCCTAATATAAAAATTATAAGAAGAAAAATAGTCCGAGAATAATAGTATTTCTTTAGACTCAAGAAATGGTTAAATTAACCTTCTCAAATGAAGAATAAGCCAATTGAATAGTGCAGGTTTCGTAATAATTATATTTATAACAGTAAGTCTATACAATTTAGACAACAGGTAAGTAACGCAATCACATTGTATCGCAATCGATGCAACATCCCACCGATTGGACTAGATCCTGCACGTAATCGAAAGGACACCTTAACCTCCTAACCGATGGAAGAAAAAAAATGTTTCTGCAGATTATAGTGGTCGACAGATTACTTCTGAAGAATGCGAATATCGCGGCGAAGTTCGTGTCGACCGAAAGCGTGATCGCACAGTCGAGAGAGTCATTTTCTCGACGGGTAACGACCCGAAGCAGGCCTTGACCAACGCTGTTTCTGGACAAAACAATGGATCGTCCTTCTCCATTGTTCCCTCTTTTTGTAGTTCTTTTCGCCAGGAAGGCTGCTGGGATGAATGTGATTTTTTCTACTCGGAAGGGAGAATCCGGTCGTGCACGGGTTTTAACGACTATCGACCTTCTATGCCTCATTTTCTGCACCTTGGTACAAACATTAGATTATATTCATACATAAAAAATACATTAGATTTGCATCCTTCGAACGCCTATCGCCAAGAAAGAAATCATGACCCTGAATTATTAATAAAATTACTTTAGACCTTATACAAATACATAATACGTACAGGGTTTTTTCAGCAAGAGCCTTGAAATAATAATCCTAGTTATAGTTCAGACTACAATCACACAGCTTAAATAATATTGAAATATATATTTGCAAATTTTTAAAAATCAAGCTTAAAACAAAACAAAAATATTTTTACGGTTGTGTAAGTGTGAATTTGATGATATAAAATCCAGGCAGTTAGTGCATAAACAAACAAAAAATAAATTTATCTATCAGCAATAATTTTGAGATATGACTATTCTTTTCAAACATTTAAACTTCTTTGATAGTGTGTGGGTTTGCTACTTTGTGTATTTTGGTGAAATATTGCAAAGCCTTGCTATTCGGCGTATTACGCAAGCTTCATTAACGTATCGTATAAATTCTATAAACCTGTTGATTGTCTTTAACCATATCTGCGTTTAAATAATCCAGTTATGTAATTTTTATGTTATATAAATTTTACTTTCTTTTTTTTTTAATCCACGATATTTTCATCGGATAAATCTAAGATTAGAATTAATCATTATGTTGACAGTTTTTATCATTATTATTATCTTTAGTAAATTTTATGAATAAAGTTCAAGTACGTCAGAAATGAAATGTTGTTGATTTCCACTACTACTACACATTTTACTTTGTTTAATGAAATGTTTTATTACGGCAAATAGTATTTCCTTCTAATGCACCCAAATGTGATTTTATCTGTGTGTATCAGAATCAAAAAAATGAACAATTTTTTTTTATATTCAACAACAACTTAATATTAAAATCATATGTTAAGATGTAACGTACTAAGATGGATTAGAAATACCTTCCATTAATTTTAATCCCACACAACTCGCACCTTCTGCTTTTTTTATGTTAAATTTATTGTTGTCCAAGACGATCTCTAAAACTATAAATCAAAGACAATCCACCTTTGTCTTCGACTAAAAATGTCAACACGCTTGTTCAAGACGAAATAAATTTGCATTATAATTATGTTTGCTCACCGACAAGCCGAGGCGTTGAAATCTCCTCGTACAAATCAATACTTTTCCCATGGATCACGTTGAAGAGGATGGCTAACATTGCTAAGCATACCTGAAACGACAAACATGAGAGATTTTTAGACCATAAAATATAATTTATATGTGATTTATTGTTTTAAAAATTATAAGGCAATTTTTTTTTTATCAAAAGAAGAAAATTATTAGGAAAGAACTCTAACCGTTAATTTTGTTTTCCTTACTGTAGGTAGTTGTATTTATTTATTCAATATAATTTTAAATTAAATTTTACCGAAATGAAAATCATTTTTGTGAAGTACAATCATAGTGGCATATAGGAAATGATATCATGAGAATATAGGGAAATAAACAACAGCGAGGAAAGAGAAACAATAAGATATTTTTATTATATTCTAATGATTAACAAATATGAAAATACTTCGGGTGGTCTAATAGTATCAGCTAACGTTTTATTAATAAAGTGGAAAACATAAAAATATTTTATTGGAGGTACTTACTGCGTATCTAACCATCTCGGAATGTATAGTCGGACTGAAGCCGGAGGCTCTCCCCCCGCCAACGACGCCTTGAAATCTGGGAACGGTTCTTTGGCAGATGCAATTAGACGTTAGACCCTCCAAGTCGGTACAAACCTCCTATGGCGTAACTCTCCTCTAGCGACTCTAAGGTGTCATATCTAAGGAATTTATACTCAATTTTGTTTATGAGTAGCTTTGAACTGAATTGCGCCGTTTTTTCTATTTTAAAAAATCCTAATCCAATGCGAATACAAAAATACACGGTCAAAAGTTTCGGTTGTTGTTTACGTTTAGCATATTAACATATTATAAGCATGCAAAATTTTGAAAAGAAATAGGAGACAGAAGGACATATTCTGTTAAAAAAAAATCATATAAAATAAAATTATATATTAATCTATTTGAACAATCGGAAACACAGAGACGCAGGGCAAGAAAGAATGTCAAACTGACAAACAGACATAGATGGAGATTGAGAAATAGAATGAGAGAAGATGAGGGAGAGGAAAAATAACAGAAAGTACTAGATAGATATAGACAAAGAGACAGAGGGATAAAGTGTGAGAGATGTCAGTGTGTATTTGGTAGAGATAGATGGAGAGAAAACGAGCGACAGACAGACAAATGGAAACGAAGGGAGTAAAAGAAAATGAGCGTGTGGGAGAGGGAGAATGACAGACAGCTATAGACGGAGATAAAGAAATAGAACGAGAGAAAATTAGGGAGAGGAAGAATAACAGCAAGTCCTAAATGGATATAGGCAAAGAGAAAGAGGTATAAATTTGGAGAAAGGTATAGTGTGAGTGTGTGTTTGGGAGGGAGAGATGGAGAGAAAACGAGCGACAGACAGACAAATGGAAAAGAAAAGAGGAAAAGAAAATGAGAGTATGGGAGAGGGAGAGTGTCACACAGAGAATGACAGAAAGCTATAGAGAAGGTAAAGAAATAGAACGAGAAAAAATGAGTGAAAGAAAAAATAATAAAAAGTCTTCGATGGAGATCGACGAAGAGAAAGAGGGATATAATGAGAAAGAGATGGAGAGAAAAAGCGTGATAGACAATTAGAAACCTTAGAGCCTTAGAATGTGATAAGGAAGAGAAAGAATGACAGAAACTATATGTGGTGATTAAGAAAGAGACAGCGAAAAGAAGAAGTGAGGTAGATTAAGAAAGAGCAAGAATGAGAGAGAACAAATAAATGCTTTATAATTAATACAAGCAGATTTAGGATATTGGGGGAAGAGATAGAAAGAGAAAGAGAATGAAAGAGAAGTGCTAGATATATAAAGAAAGAGAGAGAGTGAGAATGAGGTGAAGGGAAGGGGAAAGAGTGAGGAAGATAAAAGCAGAAAAGGATAGATAGAGAGAGACACACACACGCACACACATCGTGGGATAGAGAGAGTGAGAAAGAAAGTACTAGAAAGAAAAAGAAAATAGGCGGGAGAGAGAGAGTATGTGTGTTTGTTACATCCAAACAATTGTCTTGATCGAAGAAGTTTGATCCTATCCGATCATTGTCGTTTTTACAATTGACGTTCCAGCGTTTCGCCAGATATTGATCTGCGCGTATGCTTGCCTTTTGTATGTTCTGATGAAAGGTATTAGGAGCGAGACCAAAAACTAAAAACTGTGTATGTTAATGGTTTGAAAAATAGTTGGTTTGTTTTTAGTTTAGAGATTATTCCAAGGAGTGATGATATTTTTTTATATATCTTGTAGTTTCTATTTTTACGATCGGTCTTTGGTCAATCAAATTTGTCCGTATGTGTAGTATCTTTGATGTCGTCAGAGAACCAAATTATAATGCACAAGTTCATTTATAAAAAATTAACCCTTTTATTTTGAATAGTAACATACTACTAACAAATAACTGATAAATCAACAAGAAATATTACTAAATGTTAGTGCAAGAAATAAATATTTTTCAAACGAGGCTTTATATACACTAAGTTTTCACCGAAGTTAAAATTATTTACATAATGATTTAACTGGGAGATATCAATCATTGACGTAAAAGTATTTTCTTTTGTCGGGATCCCTGATAAACACAGTTGTAGTTCGAGGCGGTGAAGGATAGTTTTCTGGCTCTTCTGTCAAAACCTCTATGCTCCTGCCCTCTGCTGATTCCAACCCCCGCTGACTCGAGACAGACTGGAACTGTTGTTTTCTTTTGGGGTGACGTTGAACCGGAAGTGGTACACTTCTCATCAAGCTGACGATGTACGCCTAGAACATACAAAATATTTACCCATTACAAAAACAACGCTGATATAGGTTTACTGGAAAGTTGTTACCTCATTTTCATATTGGGCTTCTTTTTGCTTTTTGGAGTTCTTTTTAGTTGTTGGATGTGCCTGAGTCTCTGACAAGTTTTCACTTTTTCTCCCACCAGATGGATAAGAATAAATTGACCCTGCTTCTCCATTGCTTTTAGCCTTCTTCTTCGGCTTCCAGTCTCGTCTTCTAGGCATTTCTCCCCAAACTCCAATACCGGTAGCAGGGTCGACGAGGTAGGTCAACGTCCCGTTGGTGGATCTTTCTGACAGAGGATGGGAGTCAGAAATTTTCGCTGAATATTTCATTTCTTCTTCAGAATGTTCACCCTCGCGGTTCTCTCTGGCCTCAACCTGCGGCGTGTAGGTCCTCTTGTAAGTCTCTTCTTTCGTGACTCTTCGATGCTCGACTTGCTGGAGTTCCCTTGGGTTTCGATCGATTTCCGACGAATCAAACGGACTTTCACTGTTTGATGTCTGCGCTTTTAACACTGAAAAAGCGTCTACGGGTGTGCGTGGTACAAATTTTGGGTTTATGATCTTTTTCGGTTTGTACATTCTTGTAACGGTAGTCGTTGGTGATCTTGTTGTAGTGGTAGTGCGCATTGTTTTCTTGTCTGCATTCAAAGGCTTTTGATATTGTAAATATTTCCTTTGTGGAATTTTAGTCCTTGGAAACGATAGTTTTGACTTTCCTGTTGGAGCTTCTAAACTTCTAGTCGTTGGTGCAGTAGGAAGTGGTAAAGAAGAGTTTGCAATTTTAACCATAGGATCCACAAAAGAAGCATTACTTCTACTTATATAACCACCTGAAAGTCTGCTTAAACGAGACTTTACGCTATCCGTCATGTTCAGTCTTAATTGCAATTCATCCAAAGACATTTGAGGTTTGGTAGAACTTTCCGGTCTATGATTTGTGGGTATTTTAAAATAGGCTTTGTTTGAAGCGTCTGAATTTAGCGAGATGTGCACATTTAGTTCGCTCGACATATTTGGTTTTCCTTTATCATCGGGTAAATCCTGCTCATAATCAACATCCCTCCTTTCCCGATATCTTGGCTCTTTTCTCCTATTATCGAACAAACTAGGGAACCACCATTTTAACGGGGTCAATGGGTTCATATAGCTCCAAATGCTCGGCGTTTCCTTTTTCTCCTCAGCAAGTTCCTTATTTTCTGTGTATTCTCCTGGACGAATTATGTACCATTTGACCGGTTTGGACTGGGTGTCACTTGCTATATTGTCAGGACTCTGTGTCGTAGTTGTCAAATACGGGTACATGGGTACAATTCTGTGTGTTTTAATGCTGTGAGCATAAAGCAACGGTCTGTAATGCTGGGGGTTGCCTTTATGACTTATAATCGAATATATAGAAACAGGTTTGGGTTTGTACTTTTTTGGGGTATAAATAGGTGTATACATAAAGTGATGAGGTGGTCTGTAACGTGGCTTGGAAACATCAACTTCAATACCGCTTTCTTGAGAATTTTCGTGAACTGAATAATAGTTTTTATTGTTACTGTTTTCTATGTAATAAGGGTATGGACTGACAATTCTAGAATCATACCCAGGAGAAATCGGTTCAAACTCCTGTCTGTGGTTTTTGTATGGAAAAACGGTTGCATTGTTGTCATGATTCATTTTATGATTGCTGTAATCTTTTTGGTTAGAAGTTGTGTGATAATGTTTTGTAGTGTTCTCCTGATTCAATATTGTAGTTTGTCTTTTTGAGGTGTCTCCATTCCGTAATTTCCTCAATGGCGCCGTTTCCATCTTCTCGTTCGCTGTTCGGTGTGTCATTGGCTCGACGCCTTCTTGAAAAAATGGGTTGTCTAAAGGTTCTTTACCGAAATATTTATTTTTCATGCATTGAATAGAATCTCCCAGTCCTTTCATTCGTGGGGTTTCCACTTGCACGTTTTTATTCCAATCGCCGTCTTCCTTTCTTTCAGGGATAATGTCCTCAGGAGGGCTAGGATCCTTGCATCGAACAAGCCTATCCCTCGATTCGTAAAATTCCATACCACCAAGTGTCTTCTTAGGAATCATGTCTGGATTTGTGGCATATTTCAAAGCGGAATCTTTATTTCCGTTGCTCCCACTTGAGACTCCATGATAGAACGGATATTTATGCTCATCGAAATTTATTGTCGCTTCTCTTTTCACCCTAGGATAATCAACTTTTGCGTTCAACATTTTCGTCAATTCTATCAGGCGTTCTGTGTTATTCTGGATAGGTGTAATTGGATTATTTTCTTGTGAAGAGTAATGTGCTATCGTGAGTTGCTCTATGTATTTTACAGGCCAGTCTCCTGATTTCGGTGCTCTTTTGTCAGGTCTTTCAGCCACTAGAGCTCCAGCGTGTGCACGTTGAAGTTCTAGGAACTTCTCTTTGCCATCTCGAGGCAATGAAGGATGGCGTGTATGTAAATGGGTTTTATTTATGTTCCAGGTAGGTTGTCGAGTTACGTCTTTCAGAGTCTTGTTCCCTCTCGTAAAATTATTATAATGTCTTTCTCTGCCGACAATTCTTGTTTTGGACGACCCCAAGTCAAGGCTGTTATTAGATCGCGGCTGAATGTAACCTGTTCTGTTAGGATGTATTTCAGTAGAAACTGACAGATTGTTCGGGACCAAAGACGCGTACGCTGTCAAGGTCCCAGCGCCGTGTATTTCTCCACGCTTTGTGTTAAGCAAAGGTGATCTTGTCGGTTTCACTGCCAATCGAATTACGTGAGGCACAGGAGACGCATAGGATGTCGGATTGTCTGAATAAAAATTCGGGAAAGGGACGTATGGGACATAATGGTGAGTCAACGAATCCCCTGGGAAAAACGGTCTTTTTAATTGGTAACCAATGCTTCCTTGGATGTAGACGTCGGCAGGTGCCATTGGAGTCCAGTTGTTAATCGGACGACCCAGCGCGTACTGTCTTTTCGTATGTCTACCTGGAAATACAATATGGTTTCCTTTGGGCCTTGGATCGTTAATTACACGGACTTCCGCTTCGTCAACAACTCCGCTGCGAGGAGCAGCAACACTCCCCAATGAGATGTCCTTCCGCTCATCAAGTTTTTCTCTCGAGCGACTTTCCGAATTATAGTCCTCTTTACTTTCAATTTTTTCAACATCGTATTTTTCTGTGTCATTTTCTATTATCTTTTTTCCGTTTATTAAAGAATGTTTACCACTGACTTTCGGATATGTTTCTTTTAGGAGAAAAGCCTCTTCCCCACTGTCTCCCCAAGTGGTGCTTTTCTCACTACTCTCGGATTTTAGATTCTTAAAGTATCCTACTGAAGGAGGTTTCGGAGGTGTAGACTGACTGTTTAAATTTGTTAAAATGCCTACCTCTTCTGCCGATTTTACCTGAGAATCGCCAGCTTTGGGTATAGTGATTTGTTCGTTCTTCTCCTTGTCTTCGTATTTGGCGCCGTGATGGTTGTAAAATCCATGATCGTAGCCACTGTCTTCGTAACCTTCTTCTTCGTACACCTAAGAAAAAGTCAACTATTATCAAAAAATAAAAAATAGTAGGGGCGTTGGTAGTTAATTTTGCAACAAAAAAAAACCACCCCGGTGGTTGATAAGTTGCTTACCCCGGTTTAAAATAATTAAACAATAAAAAAATGAGTGGCTTAGTTTACAATTAAAAGATTAAGGGCACTGATAATTTATATGAAAGGGTATCGCAAGAAATTTTGAACGGTATTGAAAAACACAATTTTAAAAGGTTTATCCTCTATACAAAAATCGTTCCTGGCCAACATAATTCTTTAGCTCTTAGTAATGACAAAAATGAAAGTACAGTGTAATGTTAAAGTGTTAGTTTTATTATAACACGCCAGAATACTTAAATGGCAAGCATATGTAAATTGTTCAGTGAACGTGCATCGAAGGTCCTCTGGTTGTATCTACGATAGCTTTAAAAGGTTTAAAAAATAAGAGGAAACTTGTTCTATTATTGTTTAAATTTCATGGTTCATATTTATTCACGAAATATTCTATTGTTCAAATATACAATATGAGTAACTTATAAAAGCAAGCCGCTATTATTTTATCGACCGCTGACTTTGAAAGACCTAAACTTCCTACACCAGAAGTTATTTCTTATATCTGTAACCGGTTTCTGTTAAACAAAAAATAACCAACCTTGGGTCAGAATTGTTAGGCTTCGAAATAGGAGCTCAGAACATTAAACAGTAATTAGTAATAGGTAAAAAAAACATGAAAAATTTAATGTTAAAAGACTAAAAAGTATAATGATGGAAAATTTGAGAACTTAAATTGAACAGCAAACGACCTCTTCTTAGTTATTGTTATTGTTCAGTAATGATTTAAGATATTTGCTAAAATAAAATCTATATTAAATTATACGTGCCAGATTTTAGATTTTTCAAAAATTTCTTATAACTTTCTTCGCCATACTGGTTAAAATAAATAAATAGCATTATCAGTGATGATGAGACACATTTTAAATTGATTAACTGAGCCCTGTTTTAAACGGACAAAAACATGTGGTAGTTAAAAAGGTTAATTAATAAGCAATTAATTACAATTTATATGGAAACAGTAAAAATGACGCTATTTTGGATTCATTGTTTCCGCGGAAGTTGTGAAAACTGCATTGGTTGATAACTTTTTATTCGTATTTTATTAGTGTCGGCCTATTCCTTGCCGTCGTAGTTTTAAAAACCGTTAACAGGCGTTAAGTTTTTTCCCCTCTTAACGACAGATAAGAAAACGCATGATGGTGCCTGGAGTTTGGTCATTCGACGATCCTATTAGAGCTATCCCGTTTCAGTTAGTTTGACAGAAGTGATTTTTATTTGTTTTATCTATTAATTTTTTATCTCGTTAGATCGTTTATCTATTATTTTTATTTAGCAAATGCTTTATGAATTAAAAGGAGGACTAGAATGACAAAAACAGCACACAAACCAACCCCTGAGGATGGAAATACCGAAACGCAACTAACAATCCAAACCACTGAGCATGGTCAGAAAATACCAAACAGCGAATTAAAATTTGTCCAATCCCAAGAAACATTCTAACATATCGTATGTGTTAAACTGTACATTCATTTTACTGGTTATACCGCGGTAAACGTATTGTTAAGGCGTCCCCACTCTATTTGCCAAGCTAGGCGTTTCTGGGTTTCCTAGTATAGTCCAGAGAATTAATTTTATTGGAGATTAATTTGGAAAAAATTTGGTATGTTAGTTTGACTCCATCGTCAGCGAACATCCAATGTATAGTTGGAAGTTAAGCCCACCGTATGTCACTACCGGAACAGTTCCCCACTTATGATGTTGCAAGCCGAAACATGTTCACTAACATTTAAATCCGCGAGGGAGGACACACCCAGTAAGTAACCCAGTGCCGATCTGATCATATATTTAAATTTAGAAAAATCAGTGGTTATGAAATTTTTTTTCTCGATAAATCGTGTTTGCTTCTGGTTATTCGTGAGGCTCTATGTAATCACTGCAACCGGAGACACATGTACATAATTATTCATGGACAGATAATACAAAGCAAATCACAAATATTGCAACTCCCACTTTCTTCTAAAAGAGCTTTACAGAAAAAATTAAAAGAAACCAAGGTTCTTAAATTTTGCAAGAAAATTATTTTTTCAACGATGTAAACATTTATTTGAGTAGCAACTTCGTTTGTGAAACGAAATCTACTAGTTATTTATACGGTTTAAATTAAAAAATCCATCTACATCCAGTTAAATTCATTGCATATTTCGAGAGATATTGAAAGTTCATGGGCTATTTTTAATGGTTTTAAAGTATTTTTAGTGGCATTTCAACTGTTAAATATCATCATTGCATTCAAATAATTTGAATTCCACTGAGAGAGGAACCTTTACTTAATATTACCTATGCGCCAAAAGTTTACATTTTGCCATTTTACTACAGTACTTTAATGCACTGTGAGTATGATTAACCGGCAAATAATGTAAGGAATAATAATTATATGCGTGACTTTTCCACTCCCGAACTTACACATCAACTATGTTGCCATAACCATTATATTTTCTTGTTGAAGTTAACTCCAGATAAATGTTGTAAATAAAAGAAAACAATATTATTTAAACCTCTTAACCGTCAGTTATGGCACAACCAACAAAAAAGTGGTCAAGCATTATTTATTTAATTTTCAACAACTTTTATCAAGAGCAGCTTATTATATTTTGCATATTTCATTAAAGCTGTTCTAATGTTAAAATGATGACTATATTTTTTTCATTATAATAGCAAAAATTAAAATAATACCTGTTTGAAACTTACAAATGTATATCAAATTAATATATTTGTAATGTTTTTGATCCTCACTTGTTGGATTTTCTTTTGCCTGAGAACTTCTCTCAATCTGGCGGCTGCAGCGACCTCTTCAGCAGTGGACGCTTCTTTCAGTGCGTCAGAACGAGGTAGATGTTTTACCGTGTCGTACTTCCTCACTTGACTGTAGATTTGCAAAGGCACAAAGCCGAGTTCTGTCTCCTTCCCTGGTATTTTCCCTTTGGCCCATTGCCCTTTGTTCGCGTATTCCGGCTTGGTCGGCACGTCCCGCGGAAACTCGTGCTCGCTGGGCTCTTGTTGAGATAAGCCGGATTCCCTTTTAAAGCGCAAACCTTCTCGAAAGTAGCCCGGTCCGTGGATGAGATTGTTCTTCCTCACAGGGTAGGTCCAATACGGCCCGCTGAGATAGGTCTCGTACGGAATCAGATTTTCCTTGAAGCTGTACTCCCCGTCGGATTCGGAAAAAAATACGAACAGTACTAGCAGAAACATGTTATGTTTTAGCAGGATCTCACTAAAGCACAGGCATGCACATCTCCGAAACGTCTCTGACGGGCTTGAGATGAGAAATGGCGGGGTTGTGATCAGAGCCCTTTCCCTGGTGAAAATGGAGAAGGACCGGGGGCGAACCAATCAGCCGTATTGTCTTTGGAAAGCGAGCTCTCTTTTGTTGTTGTAGAGCGAGCGTCATGGGCCAACGGAGACCGCAACTGGGCCGTCAGAGGTTTTATGTAAACTATCCCGCTGCACCCCTTCGGATTTTATGCAATCCCATCTTCGCCGCTATGTTTCACACCGACTTTGGCAACTTCGTCTCTGTTGACCGATGATTTCGCCTCCACTATAACCAGCAAAAAAATTCGTTCTGTAACTAAATTTATTTAAGACTAGTGGGTTTCGTAAACCCAACTCGATTGAAAAAAGAATCATAAAATTTTCTTAATAATTGTATCACCGAATATGCCAACCAGTCAACAAAAAAGGGGGAGAAATAATAGATCAGCAAGTCATTTGTTGCACATGGTTGAGATTGGTTACCTTTTATCCTAACAATTAATGTATAATATTTACACATTGACCTTAAAGAGTTCACAAATCACAACCATATGATTTAATGTACACGTTTTATACCGGGGAAAGATTAGGTCACAGGGGATGAGCGGGTATTGTAGGAGTGAAAAGAGGACTTGAATCGGATAGATTGGATAATGCAATGTGGACGATGGGTGTTAAAAAAAAGGAACCAAGGAAAATAAACTTCAGGAAGAGAGCCAGAATAGGTTCGAATTCAGTCGTAATACCCTGGACCCTCGGGGGTAGTCGACTATAAACTTGACACAATAGTTCATCAGTCTTTTTTGACGCTTATTTTCTTCCTACGACACGGTTGTAGTCGAGAAGATGGATGATGCTTCGGTGTTGTCCACGACTTTTACTTCTAAATACCGACAAATCACAATGCACTTACTGTCACATATTCGGACGACAGCGCCATATTAACAAGTTTTCTACAAGCTTCACTTATTATACAAAACCACACATCAACAATTGATAAATGAGCAATCTTTGGAAAATAAAGTTTAACCCCTAAAATTCACAAAACATTAGTTTTACATTCCGCCGCGAGACTTGCGCTAACATATACGATTGAGTAGATGATGGGGTTTGGTCTGCGAGTTGGCGAACTCATGTTGAACCGGCACGGGCACGACTGGGTCTGTCTTAACCCGCGAGTGAAGACAAACCCAGTAGTGCCCGTGTGCCGGTTCAACATTATACACAATTAACCTGTTCTTCAAGCAGTTAAATTTACCTATTTAGGATATACGTTTCATAGAAGGCTTACTTGGAATCCGCGCACACGATTAAAAACCAGACCCTTAACAAACGATTTAAACGCTTTACTACCTAATGAACGGACGATCAAAATTACTATTAAAATCAAAACCTAGGACAAACACATACTTACTCAAACCTATTTGGATGTAGGGATGTCAAGTTTAGGGATTGACCAAATATTCAAAGATTACAAAGTTTTCAATCAATGTCCTTTATGAAAACAATAATACAGTCAGAGATCTTCGCATATCGTGTTTTTAATCCATTAAAACCTATTACAAACGTTTCTCCAGTAAACTGCAAGATCACATAAACACACAAATATAAACACTCCATTCCCAATTACCCCGTACACGACTGAAGATAATATGGATCAGAAACTTCTTGAATGATTAATCCAGAGTGCCTACCAATTGGTAGATTCTTCTAACGCCAATAACGTCACATTCATAAATAAAAATCCAATCTGCTAGTTACATACAGTTATAGCTATAAATAAATGAAGCTAAAAAATGTCAACTGGACACCATGCTCTAGTTAGTCTAGGTCAAAAAACCCTAAATGTTTTTGAATCAGTACGTGCCAAATTCGTTACGTAAAACTTTGGATGTCCACAATACACAGGGGAAAGCGTGATCTTGTTTCTTTTCGTAAAAAATATCAGTTTTCAGCACACTGAAATGTTTTGCAACGTCGTCATTGCTGGTTTGTTAAACGTTTCACGGATTAACATCCAGCAATGTGTGCTTTAAGGTTTACTCAAATTATTATGTACACTATAACTTATAAAAATAGTTTTGATTTTTTAAAAAATATTTTTTACATTATTTTATTTATACCCTGTACATCATATTCGTACATACTACAAATGCGATTACAAAATTGTTATTTTTTAACTCAATAATGCTAGTGCTGCTCCATGGAAGGACATGGACATGTCACATGGACACATGCCATGAGAAACCAGCCAATGCAGTTCGGGCAGTAGGGTTAGGATGGATCGAGGGTTGGTGAGAAACTTTTAGAATCGGAACGGATAAGTTCGTGACAAAAGGAATATTGAGGTCGTTATGATAGTGAGGTTAGTGTCGTAATAAGGAGCTTGGACAATTGTGTCTGAGGACTTTTGATCGATAGTATTGGATGTTGGATGGCTTGACAGAATCTCACAGTTCCACTCCATATTCTTGTATTTCCGGCAGTAGATTCTTGTATAATGCCAGTTTAGTTTTGATAGTCAAAGCAGATTTTGGTTCTAGAGTTGTTGCCTCTTAAGTCTTTCATGGGGATACCATGTCAGTCTAATCTAGGTACAGTCCTAAGTATTTGACTTGAAAGGAAGTCGGTATCTCTATGTTGTTGATGTGCAATGGAGCACAAAACTATTTTATTAATGTGAATGTATATTGAGTAAATTTTTCTTCATTCAGTCTTGCCCTTTTTGCACCAATCTTCGATAAGCTCAAGGTTTTCTTGAATGTTGGATGTACCTTGGATAGGTGGAGGACAAAATTGCGGTATTGTCCGCTTAGGTGTTGATGAAGATGTAAGGGTGGGTGAGCAGTATAAATGATATATGATATATAAGGACCAAGAATGCTCCCTTGTGGGACCCCGGCTTGTATGACAGCTTACTTCCAAGAAATTTTGCCTCACTCGGATGCAACGGTCTGCAAGGTTTTTTAAATAAAGAAGCGAATTATAACCTATTCTGTTGAAATTAATACGGAAAGGAAATTCACAGGTAGTCAAATTATGGTGAATTTTGTATAAATGGGTAGATTTATATGGCCTATTGTATAGGATTACCTAACGATATTCCTACAATATTACTAATGTAGAATATTTGATCTCATTCACTGCATTACCTTATGCTACAAACAATAGGTTTTAATATTGTAATTAGATGCTCACATTTCTTAGCCTTGTATTTTTTTTTTTTTTTTTTGGAAACTAGAGCAATTGGAAAATAAAGTTTAACCCCATAACCCTTTTTTTTCGAGGTCCTGATGGAGGGGATGCATTTATCGAAAGTTTGACAAAGGAACTGAGTGTTTTCGTTTTTTTTTTTTAAATAAAATAGACGCCTAAATTGTCAAAATCTAAAAAATGACTTATCATCATAGATAAAATTAATCTTTCCATCTATTCTTTTTAAATAACAGACAAAGGAAATATTACATGCGTACAAGGAATAAAATGATTATTATTGCAAAATTATTTATTTTTGTATTAATATGTTATTTGTTCTCTTAAAAATAATTTAAATCTATGCTTTCAGTCGCATTGTAATAGCCGGTTTTTGGACATACGGTATGTATAATAGACATGTCGATTTTATCAACAACGGCTTCTCCGAACGAATAATCACTGTACAATTTCAGAATGTTGCTGGCATCGAAGGTGGTCTTAGTGTCTTCGTTGTTGCTGCTATATACTGTGTTCATGAGGGTAGCGTGGATTTTAACGGATTTCCTCGGCTCCTGCTTCGTGGGCGCGAGGTCACCGAAAAAATCCATAATCCCGTCGACGAGTTTCTGCAAAAGTGATGAGTCCTCCCCGACGACATTTGCAAAGAGGACATTCACCTCAGAAGGATCGTCGTTCATGTAGTCGAGACCTTCCATCTTCAACTTCAAAGGCCGTCCTTGCAGAACGGGGCCGATAACAGTTTCTTTGCATTTCCGAAGTGCCTCGGCAGTTTCCCTTCTTTCTGTCTCGTCGCATATGACGAAAAGTACAACCGTTATGTGCAGTTTGTTTTCGTTTATGAATACACTCTCGACTACACCCCTGTCTGGGCAGTTTTCTAAGACTGATGATTTAAACTTTAGAAAGTTTCGTTTGAACGTATCGTGGGTGAGTGGAATAGAGATGAAATGTGTCGGTTTCTTCCTGCTTCTTGCGCCTTTAACCATCATGAGAATCCTGGTCCTGGCGGAAGCGACATCTCTTTTCGATGAGCCGGTAACCACAATGTCGCCGTCTTTGCCCTGCTTTGGGATCATTATCTGCGTTTTCGTACTCTGCTCGATATTTCTTTTGGTGCCTCCTTTAGCACCGATTATGTACGCAAAATACGCCTGCGGGACGTGGAAGGAAGCACGGCATCTACCGTTGTCGTCGACGGTGACGCATTCCACGTCGTCGTCGGTCGCTTCGAGGCAGTAAGTTTCAACATCGGGTTCCATATAAGATGTTTCGTGGGCTGTAGTATAATTGCCAAGATTCAGCGGATTGACCCTGTAGCATATATTGCCGATCCATTCTAGGTGAGGCTTTAAAACGTCCATCTGAAACAAAGAAATAATAATTTAATCAAAAATTAGAGCTAAATGAGTTTACAATCGTTATTCAATAATTTTCTATCGACATTTCAAAATACTTTTTTTAATATCAGCCAAATATAGAAGCTGCTGACCAAACATTTCATTCCAGTTTGTTTGAATAATTAACTAAAATTCACTTTATTTGTTGCTACTTATTATAGATGAAATAAGGAAACTGCAATATTTTATGGAATATGTGAATTTAGAAATATAATTTGTATTCATACATCTTTAAATATTAGGACCAAAAATAAATATTACCAAGTAAGTGATATTATTTCAGAACAGCACACTCGACTGTAACATGCTCTACGTTCTGTTAAACGGTTTGCAAGTGGGTTATAGTCAGGATTTGGTTCCCTTACCAGTTGCCTATAACGTATGTAACCACAACAGAAAGTAAGAAGAAAGATAAATTTGAAAATGAAGAATGAAATGATCAAAAAGATATTCACATCAGGTTAAAAAAAAACATCAAACGTTTAGCGTTAAAAAACCAATTAATAGTTAATATTTATGAACAAGAATTCAATGACCATTGGAAAACCTATTAAGTAACCTGCTTGAATAACTTATTAAGCACTGTTATCAGATGGAAATCTCAAAAGGTCGTGCGGTACGTTTTACATTTAATTTCTATAATATGTTGATTTTCATGATAATTTCAAATTTTAATTATACAAGGAAAATATAATTCGACTTATTTTAATTAGACACAAAAGACGTCTAAACTTGTGACATGGATCTCGACCTATTTAATTAAGTTTTATTATAACAAAGTCAATTATTTAAAAAAAATCAATAAAATGATTAAATATTTGTTGATATTGTAAGTTGCGAGACTAACCATGCCGAGCCAAGTATCCAAACATATAAATAATAAAATAAGTATGGGTCGACTTAAAATGCCGACGTTGAGCCTTTCATATTTTTCATTCATGGTAATAAATTCTTTCACTCCCAAAAACAGTTTTATTTAAACATTAACTGCTGTTTTCATAGCTAAAAACTATTTTTCCCCACCCAATATAAGAAAAGGACTTAGAAATTCGCTACTATATGCAATTGAATTTTTCGTATCCGGTGGTAAGCATACTAGCTCCCCGTATGGAGCTAAACCATTTGTACATTTCGTTACACCAAGGTCTATTTTTAGAAATGATGAATGATGGAGTGAGTGCGGCGTTCAACCCTTTTTTTTTTTAAATAGTTCCTATTCACAGTAAGTTTATAATCCATTACTGCTTTGACTAGCAAATTAATGGAAATGATGAGTGATGGAGTGAGTGCGGTGTTCAATCCTTTTTAAAAAAAGGAAGATCTATCTTTTTCTGAGCGTGCACCTACCCTAGCTTTCCGTTTTAAATGTAAAATTATTTTTCGAATCCATATAGAATTTGGGTGTAGAATAGTATTTAGGAATGTTATATTATTATACATATCATATTTATTATAATTATATTATATACTATGTATTATCATAAATACTCAATTTTCATGACTACTGTTTATATTCTATCGATTCTACCATCTTAATTCGATTGACTTGCTATTGCCCTTCAGTTTAGAGTCACAAGAAAACATACCCGTTAAAACAACAAATATTTTGTCTGTTTTTCTGACAGAACACACAAAAGAGAATACGAAGTACTAAATTTATCAGTATCGACCAACTTACAGGTTCATCGCTTGGCAGTCCACAAGGAGAAATACAATAAATATTTTGATACAAATGGTTACAATAAGCGAATGGTTTAGTTACATGGACAAAGTTAGTAAATCTTTTGTCTTTGCATACGCGTAAAAGACCTTTTCCAGTTATAATTATCAAGTTAAAGTAAATTTAGTAGACAAAGAAAATTATATTTCATATTTATTTTAAGCAAACAGGACAGTTACGTTTACCATTTATGTAAGGAACATGATTTGTGGTCATCGGCAAATACCATGCACGACCAAGCATTACCGTAATTCTTCATTGCTCTTCTGATCCGCCTATTACCTCTGTAAAGAAAGAAATTACCCGGACCAAACGTTTTCTATGGAGCAGACGTACTAACGAGGGTTAAACAATTTGTCTCACTTTTAAGAAATGACAACTATATACATTAAAAAAATCTGTAGTTAGGATGCTCCTTATCAAAAGGATTTTGGTGTTTTCGAACAGCTTGCAGTCTTGAATATGTGCGCAGGTCTGTTCTCCACCGCCGAATGGACAGTCTTACGATATGGAATTGCTGTATTTTTTCCACGACCTGTAAGGACCATAGTTGTCTTGAAAAATTGAATAAACATGCCTCCTGACATTAATGGATGGAAAATAACTTCTTGTGTTGCCTTCTTTGGGTTTTATTCATATTTCATTCCATTTCTCCATACTTGAATTTATTTCCTGCAATCTAATATATGAGAGAGGTTTGTCATACATGATGGTTAACAATTCCTTTTTTTCGCTCCAACTTTTGCCAACTCATTTGCCTTTTCATTTCCTTGTACCACATGTGTACACATCCATCTTAATGATATCATCCGATCCTGATTTTCTTCTCAACTCCCATCGATTCTATGGTTGGGTAGCGCTTTAAGTGGTCCTCAATCACAGCAAGGGAAACTGCACTATTTTCAACATTAATTTTTTTCACAATCATCGTTGTGTTTAAACACCATCTTCAGTCGCCAGTAGTTCTGCTTGGTTGTTTGTACAACATGGTGCCATCCTTCCTTGAATTATGTGAGTTTGTAATTCGTCCTGTAAATAACGGCTGCCGTCCCACCATTTTATGTATGTGGCTACCGTCGGTAGACTTCGAAGCATTTAGATTTTAAATCTACGCCCAGATCATTTTCCACTTGAGCAGGGTGTACATTTTGGAGAGGACGTAAAAATTACTTTTTAATCTTGCTAACAGAATAACAGGAAATACGTAAAACTTCTGTTTGATGTACGACAGATAGCAATTTTTACAAGTAACATTTTGAAGCAATGTCTGCTTCAGTTACAAATTTCTAAATTTAACGCGGCACAAAGTTAACTCAAGAGATCAACGGTCATATTCGTTGGCTACAGGCAATGAATTTCTACAATATTTTAAGGCATACATTGCTAGTTAACTACAGTTTTGTACAAAATTATTCTTCATAAAATTTCTTTTTTAAATAGCAGTTTTTCGGTTCAAAGCTTTCATTGTTTTTCTAAGAAACTTCAGGTTTCATACCCGTTTAATCAATTTATTTTGTTGTTTCCTCAAATTTTTCAGTTGAGCCCCATTGGGAATTTTTACAATGTGGCTGGATTACCCTTGACCTTAAGCACTCTGTCTTTCGCCTGGATTTGCGTTGGAAGGATTAGATAGGCTTTGGCATAGTTTTAGTGAACAATCGGGACAAGCAGTTTTGTTTATGATTATCAATCATCATTTGTCCTTTTTTTTTAAGCCCATTTGTAAGTATGGCGGGTGTGAATGCAGGGCCGCTGGATGCGAACCCGGGACCTTTATCTTAAAGTGATGAGCGCCGTGTCAACGTCTAAACCGTTGCGGCCACCGACGCCCCCCTTTGTCCATTATTCCTGTATACAATAGTATGGTCTTGTCCAAATAATTAAATCCAGAGTTTATCGTTATGGAAATTTTTCACATTTATCCTCGAACTTACAGGGAGTAGCATTTTAGCATACACCTTCTTTTAAAAAAAAAAATTATTGTAATGATACTTTTGGTGTTGAAGAAGCCTTTTAACAACCCCATACATTTTTTTTTAATCTCTTACGGTCTTATTATTTGGTTGCATTTTATTGCCGATAGCCTTATAAAGTCTCTTAATTCAGTATCTTTGAATGATTTGGCCAATTGAATAAACAAATAAGCTCTTGATTTTATTTTTTCAATCACACGCAACCAATCCACCTTTGTATGTCCATGCTTGTATACGTATAAATTTATTTTTTGTAGCAGACTTTTTTATTTTGTTGTGACTAAAAGTAATTATCTATCTACTTATTTACAGTGTCATACACATCTTTGGCTTTTAAATGAATTTTGGGTAAAATAAAACAAAATAAAGAGTATTTTTTTGATTAGTGATGTTTCAATTTGAAAGAAAACTATGTCAATCACCAATGAGGCCAGGTTTACGAAAATATTGTTAATGGAAAACCAGGAAAACTGAGGACTGGTAAACTCGAAGCTTTTTCGAGTGAAAGCGAATATCCTCGCTCCATCACGGTCATATAGTTTCCAACTTTCAGATAAATTGATTAGTAGATTAATTCCTAAAAGTTAATAAATTTAATGAAATTTTATTTGAATTTGTAATTTGATATCGAACTATTTCAATTACAGACTAAAGCGATCATTGTCCGCTTCAAGGGTAGTTTGTTATCGAAAATCTTCATGGCATGGCAAAATGGAATTAGTTATAAATGCATGCCAGCAAAAATGTTTTGGTGATGTGATTTCGCGAGTGATGGCATGATGTCCTTTATAAAATTATTCTACTGAATATAGATTTTTAACATGAAAAAACCTGTATGTGCCCTGCCGCTTACGCTTAAGGTAACCCCATCAAATCAAACCGTATTCAGTTAATGTTACGTTATTAATACATGCGATTGATCTTGAGATAGGGAAAATGGAAACAACCATGGAAGAAAAATTCGGGGGGAAGATAGGCCGAAATTTTGTTAGGACGTGAAAACGATGTTCGCGTTTTACGGTTTGAGGGGTGTGTAACCTTGCGTAACGGAAGACGGTGACCCGGATAGATCTTCTTCAATCACTTTCCATCCCTTCTTCCACGGCCCCGATGTAGCTATGCCATTTTCCGGAACGGATCCATACCGATCTCATTTCCCTAGCAGTGACCCTGTGGGTGAAGAAAGGAATTAAAAAAACGGCAACGGATGAAATCAAGGAAAAAAATGTTCCGGATGGCGAATCGAAGTACGACATAATTCGATACACTGTCCATATGGCTGGCAATTTCACTAAATTCGCAGATAAGGGCAGCGTCCTTGCGAAATAAGTACAATGGAGTAAATACATAAAATAAACACATCAGATTTGGGAGCAAATAACATTTATAATATTAATCAAAGAAAGGCTATGTGTACAAGTAGATAAAAAATTATCAAAAGAATCAATATGAAATTATAAACTTTCTTTGTTAACTTTATACATTACTAAAATATAAAAGAAAACACAATTTTGACGAATTCACAACTCATATTTATATAACGTACATATAACCAAATGTTTTTTACTTTTTTCATCTGAGTGACTCCATATTTTTAATATATTTAACATACTCAAATAGATTTTCTGAAAAAAGTTTTTGCGTAATATTGAAGTATACACATTAAAATAAATGTACAACACAATAGTATTAAGAAAAATACGCTTAACAAGTTATAGTAAATATATTTTTTATTTGTTCAAATTATAAAAATGTGTTTTGTAATATAAATAGTTAGTCTTTTGTCCTTGCTTTTTATTTAAATAAAATGATTAGTCACCTTGTGGCATTCTTCACATCAACTTTTTCTATTTAGAGTTTTTAGCTTTCCCTGATACCTGATTAATTTTTATTTTATACAGTTTTTATCCACGTTATCTCTTTATAAAAAATGCCTCCAAAAGCCGAAAAAAAGAAAGTCGTGTTTACCGGGGTGGAAGGGGATGCTCCCGAAGAGAAGACGGAACAGTATACGTCTACAACAAACACGACGGAGACAACGAGAACGGTAACAGTAACGAGCGAAGATACAGGCTCGTCAAAGAGAGTGGCCAAGGCGAAGAAGACCAAAGAGAAGAAGAAAAAAAGACAGAAGAGCAAGATCAGCACGAGCACCAAGAGTACTAAGAGTACCAAGAGTTCGAAGAGCAAATCCGGTAAAATGGACATCGTGACAAGCTCCTCCTTAGCAAGAAGAGAAAGCCGAAAATTCAGTAGAGGCAGTAAACATACGCTATCTATCGACATGAGCTCAACCACCAGTGCTGAACATGCAGTTGTTGAGCCCACTCCATCTTCATATCTTGAACAAGTACTGAAAGAGATGAAAGACTACCAGGTATTCGATCCTAATCCTCTTATGCAGAGCGTAATAGAGGAAGCACACCAAAGGGCAGAAAGAGAAGCACGCGAAGCTGAAGAAGAAGAGCGACGAAGACAAGAAGAACTCGCCAGAGCAGAGGAAGAAGCTAAACTGAGAGCACTGCAGAAGCCAAAGAAGAAGAAAAAGAGGGATAAGACACCTAAGAAGAAGAAGGAAAAGAAAGCGCCACCTACAAGGATGAAGACGCCAGAAATTAAAAAGCCCCCTAAGGAAAAAGAAGTCCTCGCATCCGAATCGGCTCCGGAGACAGAGATCGAAACCACTCCAACAGGTACGTAAAACTTAGGTTTAACTCATACTCAACCCAGCCGTACAAATGATTTCTTCTTTCAGAACAACTGCGCGAATATTCCATCGTTTACCCAAAGTTTCCTTGCGATATCCCTGCAGCGTTCCACAACTATTTTGGGCATAAGGTCGGTGTGGGCGGGATGCAGGATTTTGAAAAGGACAGGTCGAGAAAGCAGGTATTTATTCATTTTATTTCTAGCCGGCTGCGACATTACTGTGTTTTCATTCTACCTGAACGCTCCACGTGAAAATAATTTTTCTTCAGATAACTATGATCGTTTCTTCTTCATCTCTGACTTTCGAAGCACACAACTATTTCCACGGGTCTAAATGATAGGAAAACATCGTACTCAATTTTTGAATTTTCTTTTTAAATCCATATGTACATCACACATGTAAAAAACTGTCGGTCTCTTCTAGCTGCGTCATAATGAAAAACAAAATATCTCTTACGGTTGAATGTAACAGTTGCTTCAAGTTGCATCAATTACATATTTATCAATTTTTAAATTAAAAACTTAAATATTTAATATTTCAATGTTTTATCTAAATAATTAAAAGAAAAATGGCACAAAATTTATGGTAACTTAATAACTTTTGACTTTTTTTCCCATAGCCTAATGATAAAATTCCAATTTTCACGCAGGCGCAAAATACTGGTGATCACTTTCCTGTTGTATATCATTTAAATTATATATGTAAATATTGAGTAATGTTCAAAATGATATCGTGAGAATTAGTTATTATAAATTTCATTTTAAAAGGATAAGTGATTTAATTATTTTTTGTAAATTAAAAAAGGTAACAAAATAGATGATGATGTTTTACGGCAACATTTTTTATTTCTCCTAGTTTTTAAATATAGCAAAGAACAGAATTTATTCTTTGCTGTGAAAATTGAAAAAAGTGTAAATTAATTAATTCCATTTTTATTTATTTATTCGCATAGCAATTCTCTGATCCGGAACGTGAAACTAGGCTTCAGAATATTTCGCTACAACAAAAGGAACTTATGGATGTAATCGCGTTCTGCCTGGATGTAATATACATTTTATTTTAATTACTACGTAATCGGTAGTCATCTAATTATATGAACGCATTAGATGCCGTACAATGAAATCGAAGCCGGCTATGTAGATTTTGCAGAGCACGTCGAACTAATCGAGAGCCTGTTCCAAAAAGGGGGAAGAAAATCGCTATTCTTTAGTGTGCACAACTACCCAAAACCAAGTAAACATAGCTGATTTTTTTTCCCTTTAAAATCTGATTAAATTAATACGCATATTGCTCCCAGCTTTTCAAGATGCTAAGGAAGGTAAAACGGATAAATACGTGCAAAGGCAACAAGAAAAAAAACATAGGGTTATTGTGAGCAGTGGTTTCGACAAAAGAAATTTCGAGAACGGAGTCGTCATGGTGTATAGGATAAAAAATAATTTTCAGTTTGACCAGCGGTCATTTCCTGATGTGCGAATCCTCTTTTGATCTGTTTCAAAGTTCGAATATGTTTTTACTTCATATCTTATTTTAGGAGTACTACTTCGTCACCTTTAAGTTGAATCCACACACGCCAAATCAACTCTCGGGTATTTTCCATTATTTGGAAAAGATAGCATATCCAAACGTGAAGGCTACTTCTGACTGGGGAGAGCTCATGAAGTCATACAATGGTCCCTGGCAGAAAAGAAATTTCCTTCTCACACTCAACGACTTCGTCAACTTTCTTTCAAGTAAGTTCTCCATAAACATGCCAAAGCACAGGGACTGATTGTTGTGTTTCAGAATCTCAGAAAGATTGTGATAACTGCATAATGTTCCATGTGGACCCGGAAATTGTGGAAGAAGTCATGGGGTCTCCCGAAGGAGTCAAGAAAGCCGTCGAAAAAGACGAACTCCTCGACAAATTAGAGGTCGAAGTCATGAGATGGCTATCAAAACTTGAAGCTGTAAGTTTAATCCTTACTAATCCTCGATAAACATATATTCACTGCCAATTTTAATTTCTAGGCCACTGTGCTATCAGAAAAACTTAGAAGTGAGAGCGGCCTAGTAACTCCGAACGTAGAGCTTGGGTATTGGCGCTACATTCTCACCATGTTCGACGGCATACTGGCTTTTTCGCAATCTACTGAATGCGCAGCGTACGTTCGGCCCCTCAAGAAAGTTCAGTCGTCTGTTGCGGCAGTACGTTGAGACCTAACGATTAATTGATAAATTATATATTATACCTGTTGTTCTTTTAAGCAATGGGAACCGAGAATAAACCAATGTAGGCTAATAAGACAAGAAGCATTCGAAAATGTTTCATATTTCAACATCCTACGCGACTACTGGGAACGTCTGAGTAAGACCTACCCACCTGATACTGCTCTCTACCTCCCTGGGTTCCTTTACGGCTTCAAGCAAATGTTCCTCTACTCGCGTTACTACAACACGACTAACAAAGCAGGGCAATTTATCAAAAAGGTATAATATTTTTATTTTGAAAATATAGTAATTGAACTAATAAACTGACTTTTCAGATCACGAATTTGATGCTTAAAGTATGTTTGAACTTTATAACCGATGATAATCAGCATTCGATATGGACTATGAAAAAGTCGGATGTTATTAGCAAAATAAACGTAAGAAGGGAAATAAAAATACGATAATAAAACGGGTATTTATAATAAAACCGTGAATTCTGGGCTTTCAGGAATGTCTTTTGTTTTATGAAAAATACGTCCTCATATACGATGACTGCGTGCAACAAATGATAGCCCACCCTGAAGAAACCCCATTTGGCTGTTCTAAAATGTTTGTCTTCGGGAAATTCGAATCCTTCAAAAAACGCTTGCTAAAGGCAAGTATTAAAAATTTCCTCATAGAGCCACTATTTCTAAAAAAATTTAAATATTCGCAGATAGTAGACCTTATCCTTTCGAGAATCCAGTACTCGATATTGGACTCGTCCAAAATTGAAGGCATAGACATATTTTCCCGACACATTAAAGATTTTTACAACTACATGACGGAACAGCGATACGACCCTTTGGACCATCGAGAACCAAGATTCGATGCTGATTACGACGATTACCTCAAGAAGCTGGGTAACGAAGAGCAGGCCTTGCAGAGGTTCATGATCACGACACTCGACACTATGCCTAGTATGACCTCTTGGATTCACATGCTAAACCGGTAATTTTTCTTTTCACACTTACAGCTGAAACTAATAACGACACAATGAATTGTTTTCATTACGCTTTTATTGTTTTTTATATGAATATAAAACAAAGATCCTTTAATCAGAAGAACTTTAATCAGAAATTCTCTAACAATACTTTTAGATTTGAAAAAATCAATCTGGCTTGCTTCAACTTTGAAGAAGCAATATATAACGTTTTGTTTCTATACCTCGATGAGATGGAAAGAGTAAGGGATATCTATAACAAGTTCAGGGACAAGCCAATACTGCCTAGAATCATGCCTCCAATGTCAGCGAGGATAATGTGGATAAAATCTTTAACAGCAAGAATAGAAAACCCTATGCTGATATTCAAGGTATTGCAAATATTTTAGTACAATATGACCATTGAAAAGGCTATTTTTTGCGTGGACCTAACGCATTATAATAATAAAACAACTATGATTTAACAAGTTTATTATCAATTTTGTACTGTGTTTTAGAAATACCGCAGTAGTAATTTGCCATTATTGACCCAAAAGACGACAATTTACTACAACTCGCTCATGGAGACGTTCATATTTTATGAAATGCTCCACCAAAAGGCAGTCTTCAAAAAGTACTACGCTGTAAGTTCTGTAACTCCCAGGGTCAGGAGACGGTTAGTAAAATCGGATTGTTTTCAGATTGAAAAAGCGCTCAACAACCCCCTTCTTCTATACAACAAGAAGGATGGATTCCAGATCAACTTCCACCCATGCATAAGAGAGCTCCTCATGGAGTTGAAGCACTTCTGTAAATTTGGCTTGAAGATTACCGATCTTCAGAAGATGCACCTACTCTTCAAAGACGAGATGCTTTACGGGCACGAACATCTCCGCGACCTCATGAAGAAATACGGTGAAATTATGTAATTAAAAACGACGCATTAATGTTAAAGCGATAGAGATAATTCATTGATTGTTCTCCGCAGATCGAATGTTCCTCATTTATTCTGTAACCTGGTCAAGCCTTTGCTGATAAATTTGGAAAAGTGCTTCGAACCGTGCTTGAAAAAGTTGATGTGGACATCGTTAGGGTTAAACAGGACTCTCAACAAGATAGCCAACATACTGGACTCTGCAGAAAGATTCATCAAAGAGGTGATACTGCTTTTATACATTACGGTAACCGCCAATTACGATGTTTCTCTTTCTTAAAGGCGAACGATATTAAAGAGACGAGGATAGACGCCTCTTTGTCTTGCATCGAGAATATGTCGTTTATCTTCCTCACGACCGAGGTACACGACCACCACAAGCTCCTTCGGCAAAACCTCGGCCTACAGCAGCGAATCCTCGATGTACTGCAGATAAGGTCTGAGAATCTTGAGGTGACCGTTCTCGACCTGATCAATCGATTTGTCAGCAAAGCAGAGATCAAGCAAATTGACCCGGTGAAGCGCTATTACTGGTATCATTCGAACAAGATTATCATCAAGTCTAGCTCCGTTACGGATGTCTTAGTGACTCCGGACGGTATGTAAATGTTCACCATATTTTAAAGATATAAACTATAATGGCACTTTTTTACAGTAATCAAAGCAAGACCCACGATACCAACTACAGACCAGTACAGAGAAGACTGCATGGAACTGTTCAACTATTTCAATCAAAGAAGAGTTGAAGCGATGTCGAAGGCCACTAAAAATTCATTAGAAACGTTGATTTCAAGAGTGTAAGCATAAACTAACGTCATGTATATGTATAAAACGGTCATATTTTTGACGTTTTCGTCGTTCTTTCAGGCCGAGACACGGAACAAAGAAGATCAAGCCAATGTTCACAACGTCCATAGTCCTCCAAAAGCCGAACATCATTATAAAGCCCTCGATGGACGAGATGCAGACCACAGTGAACAAGATAGTCGCCGGTGTGCTGCGGGTATCGAGGGACCTGCGGCCGTGGGGATATCACCACCTCTTGCCGGGCAAGTTCCGCGGCAACACGCTGGCCAATCTCAACTTTGGGGAAGTCAAGGAAACGGAGATATTCCAGACCGGGCTGATCGAACAGGCCGATCACAGGATAACGGAGATGCCCGAAATTACAGATGAAGAGGTCGACCTGCCGGCTCTTTCTCAGAGCCAGACGCAGGTCTTCGACAAGCGCGGGCGGCCGCTGGTCAGTCTTTACAGAGCCGTCAACACTAATAAGGACGTCGTGAGGCAAGTGGTCTCCCTTCAGTCCATCTTCCACACCGTTGCACCGGAGCTCGAGGAGAAACTCAAGGTGATTTTATATGCATTGCTCCAAATCTCACTCGTGAAATATTTTTAAAACAACACTTAAAACTCGTAAGAAATAACAGTCAACAAAACGTGGTTTGAATAATAATGGCAAATTAAAACAAAAGAATGGGTTAAAAACAACTGTCTTCCAATGCTATTGTTATACGGTATAATTTTAGAACTTCACTTAATGCCTTCTTATGCTAAAAAAATATTTTGAAAGTTAATTAAAACAATAACGATTATCCAATTAAACCATCTTATTGAGTCTGTCTTTAAAAAGTCATAATAATATATTTTTACTACCTTGTTACATTACTAATTCTACATGCGTATGAATTTCCCCCTCCATTTGTATATCGATTTAGTTTACACTAAAACAGTTGTTTTTCCAACTAAACCAAAATGAAGCTCGTTATTATTCAGACGAAATTTCTTCTCAAACTTATTTTAACATAAGCATCTACCTAGGACTTATATTATCTGTAGAAATAAAAGAAACTCTAATTTATTACGTTGGTCGATTGTAACCATATAATTTTGTTGCATTGAATAAATGAATAATAATTAATATTTAAAAAGAGATAATATACATTAAATTGAAAAAATTTTCGCGGATTCATAATAATTATATACGTATTTTTAAAAATATTTGCTTGAGGGTGTTCAACACGATAACCTTGGTACTATAAAGTAAACAATATTGCTCATCTATTTCTCGACGGAGGCATTTGACCTAGTCTCGCTCACCTACTATGTCATCCTTTAGTCCTTCCCCTCGGATCACGGTTTAAAGGGAGGATCGGCACCGAACTTTCCACCCATCACGCTAATCAAAGCTGGCGTTCCACAAGTAGGTATCCTATGACAAATCCTCTACACCATCTATACTGCTGACATATCAACACTCCAAACACACAACTCTCAACCTATGCGGACGACACCGCGATCTTATCTGCATACTCCAATCTTATCCTAACCCCAGAAGCAACAACACCTGAACCTCTCATGGCCGACTGGTGCACTCGGTGGCGGATCAATTTAAACGATAAAAAAGTTATATTTACATTCACTCATCAGAACTGTCCAGAAGCGCACATAAACACCAAGATTATACACCAAACCAAGTCCGCTACCTTGGGCTTCAGTGAGATTAAATGGAAAACGACAAGAACTTAATAAAAGATATGGACTACTCACATACCGACTGGGGCCAAAACCTACGCTAAGAATGCATAACAAACTAACCGCTCACAAAACATTTGAACTTCCAGAGTCGAACTGAGCGGCTCGGCCAACCCTCCAAGATCTCCAAACTTTTCCGCTGTATCATCAACGCTCCATTTTACGTCACCAATCAAATGATCCATAAGACATTCAAATCCCATTCATGGAAGTGGAGGATCTGATCAGATCACACTTTTCTCAATTTCCACTCTAAACAATCCTTCCACCCTACCCACTAGCCCAAACCCTTTGCTCTACGTCCCACCCTTACAATCTTCCACATCGTTTAAAACGGCGATGGACTCATGACCTCCTATCTTAATTACTCCCAATTAAATGACGACCTGTCAGATGGTATATAACTACACTATTTGCCCAACGTACTATCATCTTGTGTAGATAGAAATAAATAAAACTTAAAAAAGGAAAAATGTAATATTATAAAAAGAGTAAAATATGTAGAAAAACCATTAAAACTTTGTCTATTAGTAAATAAATGACCGGTATGGTTCTTTTCACAGCATCTTTATATGTTTGAGCAACTATGGCTAGAAGACAAAAAGGTGCGAATAGCACGTTTCTTACGGCGCAAACCGGCTTCATGTCATGTAAGAGAGAAATTCGTCGAATACGACAAACTGGAAGAGCGCATCAACGCACTGCCGACTCAGGTCGATGTGATGCCTTTGGAAATTACATTCGGTAAGTAAACGGAATCCGTTGTAAACAAGCGTCATCGATTTCTTAAACGAATTCTTAATCTTTCAGACAATTTCAACAACGCTTTGTTGAACGAAGTGCAACACTGGAGAGAGACGCTCGGTGACGGCTTGAAAATCGATTTTAGAAAGAGGGCGGACGATCTTTCGGCTTTTCTAATGGAACATATCGCGGTGTTGGAAAAACCTGTGAAGGATCTGGCGAGCGTGAGAATAGCTATGGCTTGTCTTGAAGACATCAGAAACAAGTTATTAGCACTTATTTTAAAAAGTTTCCCATCTTTACAACATATTCACTTTCCAGCTTTGTGGAAATTGACCAAGAGCTTGACCTTATCGAGGATGTATATTCCATTTTATCAAGATACGACATCGAAATCCCATTGGAAGATATGGAAATCACGTACAGTTTAAGACCTAACTTCAAACGCATGCAGAAAACAGTAATTAACCAACCGCTGAGAGCAGTTTTATTTGAAAGCCTAATGATTTTAATTTTTTGATATTTTTAAGGCACTGCAACTACAAGAACTACTCTGTAGCCTGCAAGAGCCGATGAGGAGAGAACTTCTAAGAGGGGTGGCCAAATTCCAAAAGGAAGTAGACGATTTCGAAGTGGAGTTCGACGTCAATGGTCCGATGGTTGAAGGCATTCCTGCCAAAGAAGCTAGCGACAGGTAACGAAAGGATTCTAATTAACTCGAATTACAGTAATGTATCGTTGAAATCCTATGGTTCATGGTTAACAAAATCCATTAACAAAATAATCTAAATTATTTATTTCAGAGTGTTGTTGTTTCAAGATCATTTTGATCAACTGTGGGATAAGTATTTGACCTTTAGCAGCGGTGAGCGACTGTTCGGACTTCCCGTCAAAGAATACCCGACGCTAATCGCCAAGAAGAAACAATTCAATTTGCTAACCAAACTCTACGGACTCTACCTGCTTGTTAACAAAACAATTGACGGGTACTTCACAATCCCCTGGGCCAAGTTGAATATAGAAAAGATCAACGATGAACTTCTCGACTATCAGAACAGATGTCGCAAACTACCAAAGGGCATGAAAGAGTGGCCGGCTTTTAAAGAACTTAAAAAGAAAATTGACGACTTCAACGAGAGTTGCCCTCTGCTCGAGATGATGCTTAACAAGGCGATGAAGGACCGCCATTGGGAGCGTCTCGAGGCCCTGCTCAATGTCAAGTTCGAAGTGGACTCGTACGACTTCACCCTAGGGCACGTTATGGAAACCAAACTTCTTGATCATAAGTTTGAAGTCGAGGTATAAGATTTGAGAATTTAAACAATTCAAGAACTAACATTTTTATTTTGAAGGATATATGCGTAAGTGCCATCAAAGAAAAAGAAATTGAGGCGAAGCTAGGACAAGTTCAGGCAGAATGGAAGAATGTCAAATTAGAATTCGCACACTTCAAGAACAAAGGAGAACTGCTAATCAAAGGTGCAGAGACAATGGAAATTATCGCTTCCTTAGAAGACAGCATGATGGTTCTCAACTCACTCGCTTCCAATCGGTAAAAACCTTTTCTTTGAAATTATTTATCTAAGAGCACGCAATTAATTCCCTTAAACTATTTTCAAAGGTTCAACAAGCCGTTTAAAAAAGAAATTCAGCAATGGGTTTACAACTTGTCTACCACCGGAGAGGTCCTTGAAATGTGGCTAATGGTACAGAATCTTTGGATTTACCTTGAAGCTGTGTTCGTCGGTGGTGATATAGCTAAGCAAATGCCCACGGAAGCCAAACGATTTGGGGTAATAAGTACAACAACACATAGGAATTTCACAACTTAACGATATTTCATTTATAGACAATCGACAGAATGTGGGTGAAAATAATGCTGCGAGCAAGGGAAATCGTAAAGGTAATTGATGTTTGTGTGGGTGACAGCACTATGACGACCACCCTGCCTTATCTAGCCGAACAGCTCGAACTTTGTCAAAAATCGCTTGTTGGGTAATTGAAATGAAATTCTCTTTATATAAAAAATAATAATAATACTAATTTCTTTGATCAGTTATTTAGAACAGAAGAGATTGATGTTTCCTCGGTTCTTCTTTGTATCGGATCCGGTCCTTCTCGAGATCCTTGGACAAGCTTCCGATTCACATACAATACAGCCACATTTGCTTAGCGTGTTTGAAAACATAGCGAAAGTAATTATTTAGTTCATAACCTATAATAATACCTTGATAAGTTTATTTTACAACGTAGTATGTATATTCAGGTGGCGTTTTCTCCTAAAGAGTATGACAGAATAATCTCCATGATTTCAAAAGAAGGAGAAGAGGTGACTCTGGACCGTAGTATTATGGCTCAAGGTGGCGTTGAGCACTGGCTCGGCCTCCTCCTAAAAATTTCAACTGCATCAGTAGGCTCGATTATCGCCAACTGCTGGGATTTTATGAATGATCCAGAATTTCGAGTTCTGAAGATGCAGACCCGTTTCGTGGCGCAGGTCGGCCTCCTCGGACTCCAGATGCTTTGGACGCGAGAGTGCGAGAGAGCGTTTCGAGAGTGGAAGTGGCGACCGGGAATTATGAAAAAGACCAACCGGTATTTTTTGGCTATTCTGAACTTGCTTATCGATCAGACGACGCGGGATTTGAGCAAGTACGATCGTGTCAAATATGAAACCCTTGTCACGATTCACGTCCATCAGAGAGATATTTTCGACGATCTGGTCCAGAGGGAGATCAGAAACCGAAGAGATTTCGAATGGCAGAAACAAGAAAGATTTTATTTTCACGAAGAAATGGAGTACTGCATCGTTAAGATCACCGATGTTGAGTTCATCTATCAAAATGAATTTATGGGATGTTCAGACAGGCTCGTCATCACTCCTCTCACTGACAGATGCTACATAACCCTCGCGCAAGCTGTCGGTAAGTAATCATATATAAATTAATACTACATTTACATTTTGTATAAAAAGTATTTATATATTAACAATGATAATTGTAAGGAATGTCAATGGGTGGAGCTCCTGCGGGACCAGCTGGAACAGGAAAAACCGAGACAACCAAGGATATGGGGAAGTCACTAGGAAAATACGTAGTTGTGTTTAACTGTTCCGATCAAATGGACTTCAGAGGTCTCGGGAGAATTTTTAAAGGACTGGCTCAGTCTGGTTCCTGGGGCTGTTTCGATGAATTTAACAGGATAGAACTGCCTGTACTGTCTGTCGCAGCTCAGCAGATCTGTATCTGTCTGATGGCAAAGAGAGAGAAGAAGCCCTGGTTTATATTCAGGTAAATAAATGTTTAGTCGTCAATCAAAGTTCCAGTTGGAATGATACATCAATATTATTTGCTTAGTGACGGCGATAAAGTAAATGTAAATATGGAATTCGGGATTTTCATCACGATGAATCCAGGTTACGCAGGCCGGCAAGAATTACCAGAAAATCTAAAAATTATGTTCCGGTCTGTTGCCATGATGGTTCCAGATCGTCATGTAAGCACTTCTAATTAAAATTAAATAATTTTAGAACTGATTTTCATGAGTAAATGTAATTTTCAGATAATCATTAGGGTCAAGTTGGCCTCCTGCGGGTTCAGAGAGAACATAGATTTGTCACGTAAGTTTTATGTTCTGTACCAACTTTGTGAAGAACAACTTAGCAAGCAAGTTCACTACGATTTCGGTCTTCGCAACATATTGTCCGTGTTGAGAACAATGGGGGCGCAGAAAAGGTCCAATAAGAACGATTCGGAAGAGGTTGTCCTTATGCGAGTCTTGCGGTGAGGTCCCCTCCCATAGTTTTTATGGTTTGTTTTATTTCTTTATTGTTATTTTAGAGACATGAATCTGTCAAAACTTGCGGACGAGGATGAACCCCTCTTCATGGCTCTAATCGAAGATCTTTTCGTGGGTTTGAAATTAACTTTCTCAACCTACAAAGATCTCCAAGCGGGAATACTACAGACATGCCAGAAACAAATCCTAACCAATTGGCCTTCATGGAATTTGAAAATCGTTCAGGTTGGTAGAAGTAATTTAACTAGCAGCGGTTCTTCCATGAATATCGTGTACTTTTCCAGTTATACGAAACTTCCTTGGTACGGCACGGACTGATGACAATGGGTCCGACTGGTTCCGGCAAGACCACCTGCATCAAAGTCTTATGCACGGCTTTCGGACACATTGGAAGGCCTCACAAAGAAATGAGAATGAATCCAAAGGTTATGATCGAATTAAATATAAGATAATTATAAAATAATAATGTATCCATGTTTAGGCTATAACTGCTCCCCAAATGTTTGGACGACTTGACGTAGCGACTAATGACTGGACTGATGGAATTTTTTCGACTCTATGGCGTAGGTCTCACAAGGTAATAAACAATAATGATTAAAAACAGTAAAATGAATTATTTAAACCATATATTAAATTGCAGATTAAACCTGATGAGAACGTATGGATAGTGCTTGACGGGCCCGTAGACGCTGTATGGATCGAGAACTTAAATTCTGTGTTGGACGATAATAAGACCCTTACACTAGCCAACGGCGATAGAATTGTAATGGCACCCAATTCAAAGCTAGTCTTTGAACCTGACAACGTCGATAACGCCTCTCCTGCTACCGTATCCAGGATGGGAATGGTTTACCTATCATCATCAGTCCTCCCTTGGATGCCCATAATGGATGTATGCAAGCCGATACCTGCCAAATTTACTTAACATTGGAAGAAATATTTTTAAATAAATGTTGTGTAGGGATGGTTGAAAAAAAGAAGAACGATAGAATCGAAAACGTGGAAACCTTTGTTCGATAAAATATACGACGATGCACTTACCTTCGTCCAGACAAAGTTGAAAGCAAAAATGAAAATCTTGGACGCCCTGTACATCAGGCAGACTTGCGATTTACTCGACGGATTGGTACCTGCAATTACTAAAGAAGAAAGTGAAAGTAAATAACCTAAACTAATTTTAAAGTGTAAAACTTCAATTTGTCGTTACCACTTTTTTCAGATCCTGTGGAGTTGACTGAAGGTATGCTTGAAAAGTATTTTCTATTTGCGTTAATGTGGAGTCTAGGGTGTGTGCTTGAACTTGAAGAGAAAAAAAAGCTGGAAACCTTTTTCCTTGATCACAAATCGAAATTGTCTTGGCCGGAGTGCAAAGTAAGCATTCATTATCTTAGTACTACATACGTTCATAACACAATAAATGTTATATTTTTAAAGGGAGAACTAACTATTTTCGAATTTCTTGTTGACGAGGACGGCACATGGATGAATTGGCTGATGAGGGTAGAAGAGTATAACTACCCCGAAAAATATGTGCCAGAGTACGCTTCAATTTTGGTGCCTAACGTTGACAACGTAAGGATGACGTTCTTGATTCACACAATAGCCAAACAACACAAGGGCGTCCTGCTGATCGGAGAGCAAGGAACGGCAAAAACGGTCATGATCAAGGGTTACATGCAAAGTTACAACCCAGAAGAACATCTGAAGAAAAGCTTGAACTTTTCTTCAGCTACCACTCCTAACATGGTTCAGGTAAAAATTTTGTAATTTTTGTATATAGTAATTTTGTTTCTGTAATTTCCTTTTCGGTCCTAATTTATTATTTGTAGAGAATAGTGGAAAGCTATGTCGACAAGAGAGTTGGTATGACTTACGGTCCTTCGAACAACCGTAAGATGACTGTATTCATTGACGACATAAACATGCCGGTGATCAACGCATGGGGTGATCAGATTACGAACGAAATCGTGCGACAACTCATGGAAATGAAAGGGTTCTATTCACTCGAAAAACCAGGAGACTTCGTTACGATCCAAGACATTCAGCTGATAGGTGCTATGATACACCCGGGTGGTGGCCGTAACGACATACCCCACAGACTTAAACGACAATTCAATATTTTCAACTGCACACTACCTTCGATGAATTCCATGGATAAAATTTTCGGTAATAAAATTGCTGTTAAAATTATTCGTTTAAAAATAAAAATATTTCATTATGATCGTTATTCAAGGCGTACTTGGAAAAGGATATTTCTGTGCTTCTCGTTTTAAACCTGAAATAGTTGCATTTATACCCAAACTTGTCCCTCTCACAAGGATTCTCTGGACGAAGACGAAGAGCAAAATGCTTCCTACGCCGGCTAAATTCCACTATGTGTTCAATCTTAGGGATCTCTCGAGAATCTGGGAGGGCATGTTAACTATCCAAGATCCAGAACTTCCAAACCTTGAAGTACTCATGCATCTTTGGAAACATGAATGCACTCGAGTGATAGCAGATAGATTTGTTAGCGCGGACGACCACAAATGGTTCCAGATTACAATGGTGAAAGTTGTCCACGACGTACTGCTTAACCCCATAATGGAAGAATTGAGGCAGAAAGCTGAAAAAGAAGAAGATATCGTCGCGCCGTTTAAGTTCGATTCAACGGAAACGTATTTCGTCGATTTTCTACGAGACATGCCTGAACCGACAGGTGACGAACCAAGCGATGAACCATTGACTACTCCTAAAATTTATGAAGAAGTTCCAAGGTAATTCACATCAGGTGTAATGCTTCCCTCATTTACCTTTATAAATTATACTATACAATGACCGTTTATATATTTCAGTTGGGAATTTTTGAAAGAAAAGCTATTACAATACATGGAATCTTTCAATGAAGTGGTAAGGGGTTCGAAAATGGATCTCGTATTTTTTCACGATGCAATGGTCCATTTAATGATTATATCAAGGATAATACGCACACCGAGGGGGAGCGCTATACTCGTGGGTGTCGGTGGATCTGGTAAACAGTCTCTTACAAAACTAGCATCGTTTATCGCTGAGTATAAATATCACCAGATCATATTAACAAGGTAACTTTATTTGATAAATTAGAAACGAATATTGTACGTATATTCCAACAACAATATTATTTTCAGAATTTATAACGTTCAGAATTTCATGGACGATCTAAAGTATTTATACAGGACAGCAGGAGCACAATTGCAAGGTATAAGCTTCATATTTACGGACAATGAAATTAAAGATGAGGCGTTCCTGGAGTATCTAAATAACATTCTGAGTGCCGGCGAAGTTGCAAATTTGTTTGCGAAGGACGAACTTGATGAAATTACGTCCGATCTAGTCCCGGCATTTAAGAAAAAGTATCCCAGAAAGGCAGCTACGAATGATAATCTTTATGACTTTTTCATATCCCAGTCTAGACGGAATCTCCACATTTGTTTATGTTTCTCTCCTGTTAGCGAAAAATTCAGGTCCCGAGCAATGAAATTCCCCGGCCTGATTTCTGGATGCACCATGGATTGGTTCTCGAGATGGCCGCGAGACGCTTTGGTAGCGGTATCACAACATTTCCTGGGGAACTTCCCTATAATAACCACACCTGCGACGAAGCAAGCCTTAATAGAGCTAATGGGCCAAGTTCAAGACCAGGTAGCAGATGCTTGCATAGATTATTACGACAGGTTCCGACGAAAATCTTATGTGACGCCGAAGTCCTTCCTTGCCTTCCTGGTTGCCTACAAAGAGATCTATTCAAAGAGGCACGCGCATATCGAAAAACTAACTCTTCAAATGAGCAACGGTCTTCTTAAATTGGCAGAAGCCGCAGAGGGTGTTGCCCTGCTGAAAAAAGAACTGGAAGAAAATGAAAGGGAAATAGCAGAAGCTAACGCAGCGGCGGAACTTGTGAGTTGTGAAGTCTAACCTGCATCAAATACCTTACTAATCATAATAATTTTTTTTTATCAGATACTCCTCGAAGTGACAGAGGCTGCCAAACAGGCTGCAAAAGTTCAGGCGGAAGTCAGATTGAAAATGGAGAGGGCGAATGAACTTGTAAAGCAGATCGCAAAGGACAAGATAGAAGCAGAGCGACGCTTGTTGAAAGCAAAGCCCGCTCTCGACGCAGCAGCTGCGGCGTTGCTCACAATCAAACAGGCCGATATTGCGACGGTCCGAAAACTAGGTAGTCCGCCCTATCTCATCACAGTCATCATGGACGCTGTGTGCATACTTTTTAACAAGAAAATCAACTATCCGCTCAAAATAAATCCCGACAAAGGTTTTATAGTACCGAACTGGGGAGAGGCCTTCAAAGTAAGTAAACAAGTGTTACGTTTGAAGCTAGATTTCAAACTGTTTTCTGATTTATTTCTTTAGGTAATGGCAGAAGTCAAATTCTTGGACAATTTACTGACTTTCCCAAAAGATAATTTGACAGGCGAAACTATAGATTTGTTGATACCGCATTATCGCTATCCCAACTTCAATTTCGAAATGGCAAAACAGGCTTGCGGTAACGTAGCAGGTCTTCTGAAATGGGTTGTCGCCATGGGCCAATTTTACAACATTAACAAGGACGTGTTGCCGCTGAAAGCCAACTTGAAAATGCTAGAAGGAAGGCTAGATAGGGCTAAAGCAGAACTCGCGAAAGCAGAGGCTCTTCTTGCAGAAAAAGAACGAGAATTGAGGGCGGTTCAAGAGCTTGCAGCAGCGGCTCTCAAGACGAAGAGAGATCTTCAAGCTAAGGCCGATCGTTGCAAAAAGAAGATGCAAGCAGCCACTGACCTCATCAGCGGCCTTGCCGGAGAGCAAATTCGTTGGACACAGCAGCTCATTCTTTTCAAACAGGAAATAGAGCGACTTATCGGTGATGTACTTCTATTATCAGGGTTTCTGTGTTACACTGGACCATTCAATCAAGAGTATAGGTTAAATATGCAAAATCAATGGTACGACGAATTGCTTAATTTGAAAATTCCAGTAACCAAAAATATCGATTATGTCGATTGTCTCGTCGATGCTGCAATCGTAAGAATTTAAGTACTAAAGGTCTATGAAGGACTTATTAAAACCAAAATTTATCTTTTTATAATAGATAGGAGAATGGAACATAGATGGACTGCCAAACGATGAACTTTCAATTCAAAACGGGATAATTGTAACTCAAGCTTCACGCTACCCGCTTCTCATTGATCCCCAGAGTCAGGGAATCACATGGATCAAGAATAAAGAAAGCAAACACGACCTTATGGTCACGACATTAAAACATAAGTATTTCAGGCAACATCTCGAAGATGCTCTTGCTTTGGGAAAACCACTTCTGATCGAGGACATATTCGAAGAGCTCGATCCAATTTTAGATAATGTTCTTGAAAAGAATTATATCAAGATTGGTACTTCTATAAAAGTAATCATCATTGTTATAATCTATTAAGCATAAAAAAGCATAAGTGCTTTAATAAATGTAACTGTAGGTCAAACTGAGCGACAAAGAATGTGACGTAGTACCTGGATTTAGGCTCTACATAACTACTAAATTAGCGAATCCTTCTTACTCCCCTGAAATATCCGCAAGAACGTCTGTAATAGATTTCACCGTAACATTGAAAGGTAATAGTCATCATTATACACAAACATTTTAAAAGTTTATATCAACGGTTTGATAAATATAATAATATTGACTTTAAACTTTTGGTGCTAAGGTCTCGAAGATCAGCTACTAGGCCGTGTGATCCTTAAGGAGAAATGCGAGCTTGAAACGGAAAGAACAAATTTAGTAAAGGACGTCACATACATGAAACGAAAAATGATAGAATTAGAAGCCAATCTTCTCAACAAACTGAACAGCGTCAAGGGATCACTGGTCGACGATGAGACTGTCATCGAAGTGCTCAACATCACCAAAGACACGGCTGCGACTGTACAACAGAAGCTCAACATCGCCTCGGAAACAGAGAAAAAGATCAACCTGGCAAGAGAAGAGTACAGACCTGTAGCTAAACGAGGCAGTGTTCTTTACTTTTTGGTAGTCGAAATGTCTCTAGTCAACTGCATGTACCAAACATCGTTGGTGCAATTTTTGGAGCGATTTGATCTTTCTATGAACATGTATGTCAACTTTCAGCATGTCCAACAACATTCTAACTATAAAATAGCTTAAAACTTTAATATGACATATTTTTGCAATTTTGTAATAATCGTGTTGCGTATAAAAATATATATTAATGGCAACAATCACCAGATTAAAGGTTAGTAAGTTATATAGATAAAAATGATTTAACTCATATTAAAAAACTACAGGTTTGTTTTTCAATATTAATAACTATGTTATGAAGATGTAAAAAGTGATATCTTATCGTAATTTCAAAGCAGATGTATACAAATGTTTGCCCTATTTAATCATGTAATTCTTTCAGGGCTGAACAAAACGTGTTTGTTGGGAAAAGAATTCAGGCAATCATCGACTACTTCACCTATGACATATTCAAGTACAAGAGCCGAGGTCTGTACGAAACGCACAAGTTCCTCTTCGTGCTTCTCATGGCTCTCAAGATTGATCTCTCGGGTGGTAACATCACTCACAAAGAGTTTCACACGTTCATCAAAGGAGGTGCCGCCCTCGACCTCAACGCTGTACCACCGAAGCCACACTTTAAATGGATCACCGACACGACCTGGCTCAACATCGTTCAGCTCACAGAAATCCCGACATTCACGTTCTTAATAAACCAGGTGAATTATCAAAAAATGACTCTTATGTCTCTCTACGCACTATACTGATTGTTCGTTGTAGATTACTCATAACGAAAAAGCTTGGAAGCAATGGTTTGAAAAGGAAGCCCCTGAAGAAGAAATTCTGCCCGAGGATTATGAAAAACGAGACATATTCAAGAAAGTACTGTTGATTAGGTACTTATTAAGAGTAGCACTCTCTTAAGATCATAAAAACCTATTACCTACGTAATGTTTTCCGCAGGACTATGTGTCCCGACCGAATTTTCGCCCAGTGCAAAAAGTACATAGCATCGTCCCTTGGTGAGCCATACACAGAAGCCGTGATTCTTAAAATAAACACACTTATCGATGAATCTCGACCAAATACACCTATGGTTTGCTTTTTGAGCATGGGATCCGACCCGACGCCGTTAATTGAAACTACATCGAAAAAATACGAGATGAAGCTGCATCCTCTTTCAATGGGACAAGGCCAGGAAGTACACGCCAGAAAAATAATGAGCTGGTGCATGACTGAGGTGAGTAATGATTTTTTTTATAGTGTCCATCCAAATTTTGTGGAACTCCATAATAAGTTTATAGGTAGGATATAAATTGTCATTTCCACAATAGGCGTTTATTTCGTCAGACGCGTTTTGGTCTAATATAGGCCATCTTCAGTAACGTTTTTAAAAATAAAGTAGTGACGTCTCACTCTGTTAAAGTGGCCCTCCAGCGGATATATGTCCGAATCGTCATATCACCCATTCTTGACGGACTACTCGCCGTCCGGATATCCACTTTTAAACTTATAAATATGTAACAAACCGTCAAACTATTTTATTTTTTAAAAAGTCACTGAAGATGGTCTATATCAGACCGCAACGCTGACGAAATAAACGCCTCTTGTGGAAATGACAATTTATTTCCTACGCATCAACTTGGTAATGATATTGTCCACCTGGAACATTGATTAATTATCTTTTTTTAAGGGTGGATGGGTTTTGCTACAAAACTGCCATCTGGGATTAGATTATATGGCAGAGATTTTCATCTTACTGACCGAAACAAAGGAATTCGAACCGAGCTTCCGGCTCTGGTTGACGACAGAAGTTAATGAAAAGTTTCCTATAAACCTTCTTCAGATCAGTCTCAAATATACAAACGAGCCTCCTCAGGGTGCTTTATAATATTTTTGTTTAATCCAAATATTTTTTAATTTATGAACAATTTTAGGAATGAAAGCGGGCTTATTAAGAACGTACAGCTCTATGCCTCAAGAAACTCTAGACTATACACATCTTAAACAATATCATCCATTAATCTATGCTATTTCATTTATGCACACTGTCGTACAAGAAAGACGTAAGTTTGGACCTCTTGGCTGGAATATCCCATACGAATTCAACTTTTCTGATTGGAACGCATCCATACTTTTCATCCAAAATCATCTCGATTCTATGGACAAGACTGTCGGCGTTGACTGGGCTTGTGTCAGGTGCGGATTTTTTTTTTTTTTGTTATTTTATTAAACATATACTTCGATTTTTCGAACAGGTATATGATCGGAGAGGTGATGTATGGAGGCAGAGTTACGGACGATTACGACAAACGACTTTTACTGACTTTCACAAGGGTTTGGCTGAAACAGGCCCTATTTGAGGATAAATTCATGTTTTACCCTGGTTATGGCGTCATGAAATACAAAAACACAAGCGAATATGTTAACGCGATATCAAAAATGTCGAGCGCAGATCCTCCGCCGGTTTACGGCTTGCACAACAACGCCAACATAACGTATGCCTATTTTCATAGTTTAATTTTCCAAAATTACATCCATACGTTTCTATCACAAGGTTTCAAACGAATTCGATAACAGCAGTGCTGGATACGATTTTGAACATCCAACCTAAAGAGTCTGGTGGCGGTGGTGGGGAAACGAGAGAGTCTGTAGTCGGAAAGCTTGCAGACGAAATGTTACATAAAGTGCCGAAGAACTATGACCCATATGAGGTCAAAGCAAGGTGAGAGAACAGTTCGTGGCATAATTGTTAACTTAATTATAACCCGTTTTTCTTATTAGATTAAAAGAGATGGGCGCTATAAACCCCATGAATATTTTCCTCAGACAAGAAATAGACAGGATTCAAAAAGTAATTTCTCTAGTGCGAACTACTCTCATTGACCTCGAACTTGCTATAGAAGGAACAATCATCATGAACGAAGTATGTAAAAAAGACGGTCTGTCTCTTTTTATTTGACGAGTTAATTTACAGGCGCTGAGGGACGCTCTCGACAATCTATACGATGCTAGGGTACCGGCTAGTTGGAGCAAAGTTTCCTGGGTATCATCATCCATCGGATTCTGGTTTACCGAATTTCTCGAGAGGAATCACCAGTTCTCTACTTGGATTTACAACGGGCGGCCCATCACCTTCTGGATGTCGGGTTTTTTCAACCCGCAGGGCTTCCTCACCTCCATGAAGCAGGAGGTCGCCCGGGCGCACAAAGGCTGGGCACTCGACTTCGTCTCCCATCACAACTCCGTGCTCAAAGTTGACAAAGACGGCCTCAAAAACCCGCCATCGGTGAGTCCTTGAAAAACAAAGTTTATTTCATACAATAACAACGATGACTTAAATTTTAGGAGGGCGTTTACGTATATGGCCTCTTCCTGGAAGGTGCCGGCTGGGAATTAAGAAACGACAGGCTCACAGAAGCTGTACCGAAAGTACTTTATGCAGAAATGCCAGTAATTCATATTTTTGCGATCAACACTCTTGCTGCTAAAGATCCAGAATTATATCAGGTAAATTTTAACCTTTTTTCCTGTTGTGTGCCTTGATATGCAACAGTACTCTAGATTTTCTTTGAACCACCATTTTCTGAAAGTTCTATTGCTTCAAAAATAAGCAAGTTTCTTAAATTAAATTTCAATAATCCTCTCCTTTTTTTAAACCAATTCTTCTACTTGTTTAGCTCTATTTTAAAACCAAATGTTTTAATTATTTTGCTTGATCTAGTGTCCCGTTTACAAAAAGCCGAGAAGGACTGGGCTGAATTTCATAGTACCACTTTGGCTCGAATGCAAATACACCCCAGATCATTGGATAATGAGAGGGGTCGCTCTACTGTGCGACGTGAAGTAAAGAGATAACAAAAATTACAATTAAAAAAAAAATCAATAGCGTGGTAAATTGCCATAAAAAATACAAATTACTATAAAAATGATGCTTTATATTCTACTAGATAAGTAAGTAGTCAATTCCAAACAATATTTTTTAACAGATATGTTTAACTTACTGAAGATTAATCACTATAATCTTTCTTTCTGCTGTGTGTTAAATAAAATAAAAATAAAACTCCAGCTCCAGCTTCAAATTAAATTTAGTTAAATTCAAATTTAACTAAAGACCTTACTGCAGCTCGGTCGTCTCCGATTTTCCTGCTCTGACCGTTTTTGCTATTTTTCTAGTAACCTTGAATACCACACAATTATAAATACAGCATGCGCATCAAATATAACAAATTATTAATATAGACGTCTTTTCTTGCACATATTGTCTCTCAGTAATTTAAAATATCCGTTACGAAAAACATATTTGTGTGTGAAATTAATATAGGCCCTGATGATGACCTTTAAATACGTCGAAAGCTTAGCAGCTTTTTTAAAAAAAATAGCTTTTTTCTTCAAGACCTTGATCCAGAGTGATCGAGAATAAAGAATTGGTCGATACTGTAACATTGAAAACTAAAATAATACTCAAATTATTACTACTTTGCTTTACAATGAAGAGAAAAACGCAGCAAAAGAACTAGGAATGCTATTAGATTCAATTAACGACATGCAATCTTCTTTTTTCACATAAAATTTGTGGTAATTCAGTATTTACAATATATCGATTTTCTGTAACATTTTTGACCTGCAACTTTGAAGCTGAGGATTTATACTTCCCAGATTTGTTGGTGAAACTTTTCTTCTCATTGCCCGTTATCAAAGCTGGACAGAGCTATGATGGACTATGATGGTTGGCAAATGGAGACAGTGGGTTCCCCCAGTTCAAAAGTCACACACGTGATGCTGCCTAGCAGCTAAGAGTTCCTTTACAGTGATGTCATTTATGATGTAGCATCACACACCCGAATACATTAAAAACACTAAAAAATCGGGTTTTTAGAAATTTTCGGCTTCTGTCACTTTTCTTGTAGGTGGGCTATATAAAAAAAAACATTTAACGCAAAAACAATTGAAACAAAAGACAGAAAAAAAAGAGTCAGTCCTAAATTTAGAGTTAAACTATTACCTGAAAATTAGCCTAAACGGCAAAAAACTTGACAAGAGTACGCCATTTTTACAAGACCGGATGTTTACAAAGACTACCGCGTCTTTCAAAATCCGATTCGGACGCGCTAACAGTTAATAGACGCAAAAACTACACTAACGCTCTACATCCGCAAAAATTACTGAATCGGCTATAGTTGCAAAACTAGTGATACATTATAGTCGCAAAATCTAGAAAATTTGTTTCGTTGGTTAAAGAAAGGAAGATAAAACTTCACCGTTGTATCTTTACTGCAGGCAGCAGTGGTATAGATAGAACTAACTGGTAACTACCTGCATGTGACCTGGCTGTTCTAGACAAACCATCGAGATTGAAAAAAAGTGCTCCGAGCAGTGTACAAAGAAAAAACTTTAAAAATCGATTTTGTCTTACAGGTATGTATACGTGAACAATTATAAATTATGTAAAATACTAATAAACAATAACAATAACAATGGCACGATGGCTGAAGTGGTTAGAGCAGAGGCGTATTGAGCCGAAGGTCGAGGGTTCGAAACCCGCTCGTGACACCAACTTTCTCATCTTAACCAAGCCCTTACATAAAAAAAATAATGAATTGAAATTAGTAATTTGGTCAATTAGACAATTAAACATGAAATGGATTAATAAACAATGTTCAGTTTAATTTAAATGTGATATGCAATTGGATTTATTAATTTCGTGTACAAAGATAAGGACGATAACCAATTTTGTTTTACTCGTATACATAAACAATTTATCATATAATTATGAAGAATGAATGATCTACACACAGCATAAATATGACGGTGACGATGACGGATCATATAAGGGTCAACGGACGATGATATAATATAGTTCATAGCAATTAGTTCTATTTTGACAAAAAATTATACACCATCAAGTACCAGCAGTACCATTCTAAATAAAATCTAACAGTAAAATTTTACCATTATGGAGTAACTACTTTACTTAATATGCATCTCTATTCAATGAAATGTATACCATTAAGACTGCACTGTTAATAATGAGTACTAATGTAAATAATCTTTGAATTAATAAAATAAAAATAGATAAAAGGTATTTTAGGATGATTTTGAGCAGAAAACAGAACAATGAGTAAAGCGACACAAAATGCATATTATGTAAAATTTATTAGATTATTAAATATTTAAAATAAAATCTTACCTTTTGAAGGAAACTTAATGTCAATAACACAACTTGCTAACCGCAACATTACCTCCCGGTGAGACACGAGAACACGGACGACATTGCTGCCATCTAGTAATTTGTACCATAAACACAAGATTAACTAACATAATATAATAATATATTTTATGGAATTAATCCTATTGACAGGGAAAAAAAACATTTCGAACAAGTAAACAAAATATAAAAGCAAAAGTAAGAAAAAAAGGAAAAATTACTTAAGTATTAAACAATATGTAAAATAAGAAAATTGCTTAAAAGAATGTTTCATATAAATTACCTAAAAAGAACACATTTATCATTGTTATTTTAAATTTTTACATTGTCTAAAAAATTAAAATAATACATTTTACAATATTGCATAAATAATATAGACATATTCTCTTTTTTTTCTCTGAGGATCCCCAAACACTCCTACTGTCTATACAAGTTTTGCTTTTTGACAGCAGGCAGGGATGTACCAAAATATTATTTTTTAATGTAAATTTATATGTAATGTACATTCTTACAAATAATTAGAAGACAATTACATAAAAATATGTTGATTAAGTAAGTAAAAATAAGAGTATTTTGTGTATATTTGATTAGAAATAATATAACTTTAAAATGAAAATATATACAAATTAACTCTTTGTCTAAAGTCTTTTTAAAAAACAATTTTATTTAAGTGTAACTGAATTACAATAGAGACATGATGATATTGAGGATGAAAAGTATGAACAACTTGGATGTTGAGGGACGTTGGTGGCGTAACGGTTTAGGCGTTGACACAAAACAAAAAAAACATTTCGATACATCACTGTAATGTAAAGGCCCCAGGTTCGAATCCAGCGGCCCTGCATTTGAACCCGACATACAAATGGGCTTTTCTTCAAAAACACCATCACCCTGAGGGTTAACCTCTGCTGTTGCAAACCCTTTTTAAAAAAAGAAAAAAAAACTTGGATTTGATGTCTCGGTGCAACTGACTTTTATAATTTACTAGTGTTACTGAAGGTAAGTGCGACTTAATAATGTTCTAAGGACAATTGTTAACTGGCACGTGTACAGAGATCAATTTTACTTAACACCTCGCTCCACAAGTTTAGAAGTTCCATGAAGGTCTAAATCAAAATTTACAATTTATAAAAGTATAGATCAACGTCTCAGTTACATTTTGTAACTTTCATACATTATTTAAGTTTACATTATAATGATGAACATAATTACTCATTAATACATTTGTCTATATTACATTTCCAGAGCATCTGGATTACATTTTTTTTTTTTTTTTCAAGAAAATTATTATAGATTGGTATTAAAATATACAAGAATAACGACCACCAACTTGAGTTAGAGTAAATTGTTGGGATTGTGGGAATTTTATTTACAGGATTGATGGAGGTGTTTTTTAGATTAAGTTTTTTAAGTGTAATACGGAAGTCTGGAAGTTGCTTAGGATGAAGTGTGAGGTTCATATTTTTCATCAGAACAGGATTCCCATGTGAAGTTGATTCATAGATGAGTGGTTTACCTCTGAAGACATGGCACTAGCAGCTTTGATAAGGAATACTCCTATTCCTCTTTTAAAACATTGGGGTCTTCTTGAGGTCCAAATAGCTCAAAGAGAGTCCGGCTAATCAACTGTTGAAACAGACAATTCGATGTTAGTTCGAAATGTTAGCCGTCCTACCGACTGCACCAATTAACTCTTCGTACTCAATGAAAGTCTTTTTAAAAACAATTTTGTTTAACTGTAAATGAATTACAATAGAGACATGATGATATTTAGGATGAAAAGTATGAACAACGTTGACGTCTCGATTCAACTAACTTTTATAATTTACTAATGTACCGGAGGGGGAGAAATGGTGACTTAATAATGCTTACACTTGTAGGAATAATGTTAACTGGCACGTATACAGAGATGAATTTGTCATAACATACACATACCTACATTGTTTACATCCTATTTGCCTGCTGGCAAATAAGGTTGACTTTCTTCAATCAAGAAACAATTCTAGCTGAATATGTGACATTAACTTAATTAAAACCATAGTTTCAAAAAGTACAAGGTATAAATTTAAAGGGTTAGAAAAGAATTGTAAATTAAAAAAATTGATTTTTTTTTTTAAATAATGTACAAACACATTATAAATAAATTTTAACTTTATTTAATAAATATAATATATATACACTTTACAGTTTAATGAATACAAACAAAATATTTACAAAGCATAAATCTGCAATTCTCAAGTGTTTGGTGAACCTCATACTGGTCTGAAAAATTTATTTCGTTTTTATTTTGAAACAACATTTAAGTCAGAGGAACATTATTATGCTGTCATTGACCTCGGACGGTCAATTGGAGTCCAGTCCAGCCCCACTCTTCTTTCCGCTTCTTGGACTTGCGGTCGGAAGTAATCTATAATCGGGTGGTAACTGTAGTTCACCCTCTTAGAAGGGATAGTTGTTGTGGGCGGAGGTGAAAAATTTGAAATGGTCATGGAATCTGAATGCATGCTATCTATTGGAAGGGCAGGATGTCTTTGGTTAGGTGTCGGCGGTGGCAAGATATGTGGCTTGAATTTTCCTCTTAAAAAAAAAAAAAAAAATACATAAATAAAATAAAATAAGTAAAAATAAGCCATTCACAAGCTATTGAATATTACCTATCAACAGTGTTGTTTCTTGTGATTCTTCTAAGTGTATTTTCATAAGGCGGATACCTGATATCCTCTTTTGTAGAACTTTCTCCTTCAAGGGGAAGAGGTGGGCCTCTATGTTGTACCGAACCAGGTCTCCTTTTATGGGGAGAATATGGTCTTATTCTAATACCCTATGGGAACAAAATTGAAATATCATACAAACACAAAGTTAATAATGTATCACATATGACTTTTCCTTGTAGTTTAGTAGTCACTACTGTCATACATAAAAAAAAACCTTTTTAAAATGAAGTGCGTATATGTTCAATAACACCGCTGTAAAACATACCTTTAAGGGAGGGTTTGATGGGGTGTGAGGTGTCAGAGGCTTTCTAATCGTAGTAGGTGGTTCGTCATTAGCGACAAGGTTGATGTCAGGACTTTCAACTGGTGTTATCGGTTGCTCAGTTGTTGACGAGTGGAAAATATTCCCTCCATAGCCAAGTATCCTGCATGAGCAACATGTTGGGACCTTCGACAAAACGTTAGTAATTTTTATGTTTTTCTATTAAATTAATTGGAAATACCTTAAAAACATCCATAGTGAGCCCAGCTGATTCATCCCAAGTGAGAAGGCGGTGATAGTTGTAGACTTGAACACACTGAGATTCAACCTCATCAGCCAGAAATGAACAAGGGCTTAATGGCTTTCTGAAAAATCATTTGAGTATCAAATTTAGCATTTACTGGGTTAATAAGTGTACAAATTTAGGAAATTTTCTTTTTTTAACGTACAAGCACAATTCAAGTCTGAGTGTCTGTGTATAATCCCCTGTGTTGACAATATATTTCCACTGTCCACTTGTTGCCCTTGCTTTCTTAGGTCTTGCAAACTCTAGAGTAGTACTACACATAGTTTTGCCTAGGTCTGCAGGTGTTCCTTGTCGCCTGGAAGAAGGTGGTCATAATTTTATTAAATAAAGCTAGAAACCTATTAATAAGCCATCTATACCTTGCAATAACATGTGGATCATGGTAACTAATGTTTTCCGGAGTAGGTTCTTTCAAAAGTGCCTTGAATGCATCTGGGTTCCTTTCATTTTTAATACTCTTCAGTATAGCCTCTCTGAAAGGCAAGTCAAGTTAGCAAGAGATGATAATTGCAATAATATTTCATTTTTATGTTATTACTCAGGATAATCTTTGGTTTCAAGACAAAGATTGTTCTTGAGCAGGGTGCAATTGAAAGGTGTGATTGTGATCGTGTTAGAAGCAGGTTTCCTCATTCCAGGCCTCGGTGGCCTTTTTCTTGGCAGATTGACTTTATCTGGAAGATAATTTGTTCAAAAATTGTACATAAACTACTATCAATCAAATACTGTTTAGGCGTCGAGAAAATTACCGATATGAACATTGACGTTTCTTCTGTTCATACCGTTCAATGTTGGTGGTGGCCTTCTGATATTAGGACCTGTCGCTGTACTTACACGATTCCCTTGAATGATCTGAAAAAATAATTTGACATTTCAATAAACAATTGGTCAGTGCACTTATTTGGATCAGTCAGAATTAAATAATTTCAAAATATTAAAAACAGGATGTTGCTTTTTGCAATAAAAGAAAGTGGGGTTGTTATATTTATACTAAAAATTGAAGCAAATGACCTAAATTAATATTATTACTTAAGTAAATTATAATAGTAATATTTCATTTGGTTTATTAACAGTAATATCATATCATGCTTTCAATTGTTTCATGAATATTAACTGATTATTATAAAGTAATATATTATTTTTTGTAAAAACAAATACTTATATTGACAAAAATATATAATAGATATAAAATTTATTAAGTATCAATTTGTAAAATATGCTAATTTTTTCCCATCAGGCATACCAACATGGAATGGAAATTTCCGACAGACGAATCTTTCTATAATAAATTCTGTAAATACTTTGTTTTAAAAAAAGTTCTTTTTTTCCCCTTTGATAAAACTGGTGTTTTATCTTTTTCTAATAATTCTGTGTTAATCTAGTTTTTAATAGTTTACCTTCAAGTTTTGTTTTAAGTTTGAAAATTTGAGTTGTATGTTGCACTTGAGAAGAAATATCTTTTCCAAATAGTGGTTTTTAGTGCAACTTGACTTGTACCGTCTCACAAATCGAAGATGATTTACTGTTCAAATGGTGGTGTGATAGGCAAGTACCCAAAAGTACACTGCCCATCAAACAAAAAACTGACCACCTGGTTTTTGCACGAAAAAATGGCCAACTTTGAAAATGTATTTTATATCAGCCTTGTAAGTCACAGACCTTCGCTAGGTCTCATTTACCTCTTTTTCGAAAATTTTACGCTCAACAAGAAGGCTTTTTTTAAATGTTTTCCTAGCTTCAGTCTTTCATCAATAAATTCAAAAATTAGCTTTCAATTGCTCACCTTCCACTTTGTCCGATTTCTGTACCGTTTTCGAGTTATTCGCGATTTTTGGGCAAAAACGTGGCTTTTTCGAGCTCATGGAAAAAACCGATCACTCTCTTTCCCGATTTAACCGAATTAAAAGCTTATTAAAATTCCCTATTGATTGCTAAAGGGCGCCGCTTTCGGGCGATTTCCAGGCTTCACAACTCAATTTGAAGTTTTCGTAAAAAGTGCAAAAATTAACATGTTCCCAAATTTTTGAATTTTTTTCGAATGACTGAAGCTAGGAAAACGTCATCTTGTTCAGCATAAAATTTTATTTAAAAAAATTAGACCTCTTGCACTTAAAACGCAGAGAAAATATGCATTTTCAAAGTTGGCCGTTTATTCGTGCAAAACGAATTGGTCGGTTTTTTGGGGGGTTTTTTATTGTCAGTCTGTATAAGTGTCGGCACATAATGGGATAAATACCAAAAAGTCAAAATATAATTGAATAAATAAACGCCTATTTACTAGGACAATTACATTGAATTTGATGAAATATGAGCACAAAAAATAAAATTTTCAACCAAAATGGAATTTTTACCAAAGATTTAAACTTTAAAATCGCAATCGTGAAATGTTTGGGTTTTTTACTTATCCAGTTTTGCCCCGAGGGTGCAAATTTAGTCTTGATATTGCTCCTTCGATTACCACCTAATTTTGCAATATGGATCACGTTCTTATGACCAAAGCGTTTTCTCAAATCTATAGTAGAAGATATTTTCTCAATAAAAATCCAATGAGTGTCATGAGGGAATTGATCTTTTGAAACCCAATTAAAAAATCACCGTAAAATTAGTTAAATTTAATTATTTTTTAGTCTATGATAGGAAATGATTACTGGAAATATAAAATTTAATTTCAACTCCTGAAAGAAGAATTTTATTTTTAAATAAAATGGCGCAATATTATTTTTATCAATAACATCATAAATAAAATTATTGTAACCTTATTTTTACTATATTTTTTTATAATCTAATATTAGGTGTTTCAATTAGTTAGCCAATTTATTGTTACTTTTCTAAGATACTGTTCTAATCAGAAGTAATTTCTCTTAATTAGTTGGATTGTTTCAATTTTCCTTTTTAAATTATGATTAATACGACGGACTTCAAAATCCTCGCTTTTCTAATCGATACTTTCCATGAAGAATGTTCCATTTTATTTTCAAGCTGCTCGATAAATTGCCCGTTACAAATCGACTACCGAGGCAAAGGAAATTCGAGAAAATTGCGGAGAAATACCTCAAAACGTTAATAATTGAAAAAGATACAGCGGCACGTACCACTAATTGGGCAGACCGTTATTTAACCTTAATATTTCTCGGTGGACGTAACGAAACGACTGACTAATATATGTAAAATATCTCGTAATTTTGCTTTTAACGTAGATTGAAAGAGATTATAGTTTTATTATAATACCTACGGGCCGGTCTCAAGGCTAAACCTACGATGATGTTATTCATGTTATGAATTGCATACGTGACCGTTAGGAAAACAAAAATGCACGAGTTTCTGACGTCAATCAAATCATTTGAGGTTCAGCGGTTGAAAAGTTAAGAAGGGCAAAATTCTTGCCAAATAACATCTAGTCTTATTAGCTTATAGGTAAATGCTAATTTTTCCATCTTCAGTGAAGGGTTTGAATGTTAGCGATGGTTAAGGATGTATTTTATTTTATTTGCTCCATTTTAGGACCAGCACTATTATAAAATGTCTCCGAGGCGTTACTAACAACTTTAAACTGTGCTAAAAATTTCTGAGAATTCTTCAACTATTTTAAGTAATTTGGTTGCAACACAAAAAACAAACTTATTTTTTTAATGTAAAGTCTAAATATATGCTCGTTTATTTTTTGTTCAATGTGATATCTTTTTGTAAAAATATTTAAAAGGTAAGGTTAGTATCATTTCAGTTTACAATAAGGAACGTTATAACATAAAAACCATACGCTTTAAATATAAATTTTATTTTTATAACCAATATTGGAATACAAATAAATAAAGCCTATGAATAAATACATCCGCGAGTATGTCCAACGGGGAAGATAAAAGTGCCGAACTCAAATGTCTTCCCTACATTTTAATAGCCCTGTTTGCCACCTTCACCTCCTGTTATCTAGCACCACAATGCAAAATTAATTTTCGCAATAACTACAAAGCATTACGAGAAAAGCTCACCCCTCCTGCGTAGCTCGTACTCCTTCCGCCTTCAGGCTGCGTCTCTCTCCCCAATCCTCGAAACATTGTGGCGATGTCCACCGCGATCGGGAGCATTAGTTGAGACGTGATGTTCTCAGATTTTGACACCGGTGGCAGCGGTTCTCCAGGACCTTCGTGAAATTTGTAAGTAAGATCTGATTGAAGAATTTAGAGTTTGTGTTTGATTTACCTGCCATGACCTGCGCCATGACGAGGGACGCGAGGGCGAGCCTCTGAGGAGGAGACATGATCCTGACGATCGGGAGTACCTGGCCAAGATGTGTCCAGGCACCAGGTCTTTTGAAGGCAGCTGTCATGGCTTTTTTGATCAGCTCCCGTTTCTCCTCTTCGTTCTGCGGATATCTGAACTTTGGTTCAGATTTGGTCACTTGCACACTGTAACAATTAATAATGTAATTTATTAACATAAACATAAAAATATTTTATTGAACTCATGAAACAGAGGCAATTCCTTCAAAATTCATAAATTATCTTAAATGGATATTGTTGATCTATGCAAGGAGAACTAGACTGTTTAACGTGGCAAATAAAATAAACAGCAATTAAATTTTGGCTGTCTGACTAAAATTAAAGACGGAATAATAAAAATTAAGAATAGTTTACAAAATCCTTTCCAGTAGTCAAATCTAGAAAAATTAATCGATATGGATCTGCTAGATTTCTAGTCAAAAAAATAAGAATAAATAAATAATAATATTAATTATTATTAAATTCACTAGTTTTCGTGGTCCGCTTGTCCAATTAATATCTTTCAATTAATTAATGTTTTTAGTTGAGATTAAAAAATTCTAAAGGTGGGGTTGAGATGGGAAGTTAGTTTTCACTGAACGAAGTTACGATTTATTAAAAAATTATTCACTTCCAGGGACAGTATGGGCCTCCAAAACCGTTCTAATCAAGAAATTGAACTCGCAAAAATTTGAACGTGAATCGTTATAATGAAATCTATTATATTTAGTTACTTCTTTCCCCATCTCAACTCGAGATCGGGAGTTGGTGCCCGAGTGGATCCAAGTCACGTTAGCTCAAGTGGTAGAGCATCGGCGTATCTAGCCGAAGGTCGTGGGTTCGAATCCCGCTCGTGACTCTGACTTTTTTATCTCAACTAAAAACCTTTATTAATTAATTATTATTATAATTTTGTATTATTCATCAGCATTGTACAGTTATACACAATTCAGTAACTACTCATTTATCTAAGTATTCATTTTTAAAATCAAAAATGTACAAAATAAGAATATTAGAGAATAGAATAAGAATAGTAGAATAACTAAGAACTAATGCCACATTAAGTCTTGAAACGGAGGTTCCTTCCAAATCTAGGTAGTGTGAAACGAATATAACAGATGGCTAATTAATTATTGATTTATTTATTGAAAATAGTGATTAAAAAATGAAAGATATTTTCTTCTTAAAATCTTAGAGAAGGAAACTCTAAAATTTACATCTGGACAACATATTTTGCAATGACTTTCGAAAGATAGGTTGCATTCGATTTTAGGTAGTGTGCGTATAACATTACCTATTAATTTTTTATTTATTGATAGTCATTTTATAAAAAGTTTATCTGTCAAATGCGTTTTGCCATCTCCACTATTGGGCCGGGGTCATTTTTGTGATCAAGTTTCTTTTCTAAAGTCGTTAGAGGGCTGTTTGTGTGTGTATATGTCGGTGCCTTTGGTGGATTGTTGGTTTTTTCGTGGTTCGATTGACCAAATAACTTCTTTCAATTAATTAATCTTTATGGAAGGTATTAGTTAAAGTAAAAAGCCAGTGTCACAAGCGGGATTCGAACCCGCGATCTTCGGCTAAATGCGCCGCTGCTCTACCATTTAAGCTATCGTGACTTCGAACCTCTCGGACACTAACCTCGAAAGGTTGTGGAGATCAGGAGTTGGTGTCCGAGTGGATCGAAGTCACGATAGCTCAAGTGGTAGAGCAGCAGCGTATTTAACCGAAGATCGTGGGTTCGAATCTCGCTCGTGGCACTAACTTTTTCATTTCAACCTAAACTTTAAATAAAAGGATTACTTAATTGAAAGAAGTAATTTGTCAATAGTCCACTAAACATAATGGATTTCATTATAACGATTCACGTTCAAATTTTTGCGCGTTCAATTCGTGATTAGAACGGGTGTTTTTGGTGGCCCATACGGCCCCTGGGAGTGAATATTTTTTTTTAATAAATCGTGTTCTGTGAAAACGAAAAATATAAATAATAAATTCGAGACACCTTTATGATCTGTGCCATAGAGATTAATTGAAAATACCTCTGTTTACGAAAGTATATAAGTACATAAGTAAACGTGAAAACGCCCAAGTGGCCAATCTCTGAGATAACTTGGCCAGTTACTGAATGAGCAATGAGGAGTCTGGAACTTTTTTTCATTTTTTATGAGGGCTCTACCTTCCCTCCTGTCACCCTGTGTGAGCAAACATGGTCCTGATGTTTTAATCCTCATTCAGAAACTGTCCAAGTTAACCAATAAAAATAAAAGAACTGGATCGCTCATAAAACTTAAAAGTAGTAGTTAAAAGTATTATTATTATTATTGTTCCGGGGTTTTCCTGGTATAGTGCTTTGTTTGGCATAAACAATGTATGCGACCTGTTGTAAATTTGTGTGCTTTTTAAGTTTTAAAGTTATTTTAGTGTTTAATGTGTCGTGTTTGTATATTTCTAAATTTTCGTGTATGTTCATTTTTCGTTCCTTTTGTAAGTCGTGTATGTGTTCCTGCTTGTTTGTAGTGTTGAGGGTTCGAGGTGATTTCTCTGAGGTAAGTTGTCTACAGAATCCCTGGCCGATCTTATAATTATGTCCTATGTATCTGTATTTTATTTTTCATGCTGTCTGTCTATTTATTTGTCAGCGCATTCGGGTTTTATGCCATTTCTGTCGAGTGTGGTAAGTTTTGTCAAAGTTTTGCTGGAGTTTTCCGATGAAGTTGAGTCCGCGTAGTTTGATTCTATCGTTGTCCCTATCTTTTATTTTTCGCCTGTTTTTCTTTTGTATATGCCTCCATATTCGTGTGTTACGGCGTATTTACAATTTTTGTAGAGTAGGTTTTTCGAACTTTTATCTTAAGAATTGTACAATTGTGTTCGTGGTTTTCAATACTGTTTTAATTAATAATTTATTACATTTTTCGTTAGTCTGTACAATGTTTTTACTATGTATGTGGATGTGGTTTGTTTTGTGTATACGTTTTGTTTATCTTTGTGTTTGTGTGTAACAGTTAATATTTGGTTCAATTTTTCCCTATTTCTCGTTTCTCTGTGGTACTGTTTTCAGTCTGTCCGTCATGTATTTTATTTATGCTATTTTATCTCTGTGGTAGCGGTTCGAGTCGGCTCGGATATGTCAGTCCAAATGATCCGAAACGGCCAAATTACAGGTTCATCCCGCAGACAAGCGAAGAAATCACAAAATTTAATTTTCTAGGCTTCCCTGGATCCATGTATTTGTGTTTCATTGCCATTTGCATGGAAGACAGCTTGTTTAGGTTCTTCTTCATAATTTGCACTTCACTGATGGTATAAATTTGTACCACGAAAGTTCTAATGATGAAGACCCAATAGTCTCGCCTTTTCTAATCATATTTTTGGCACAAATTTCACTTGATTTTGTATAATTGTTTTCTGATTTTTATTGCTATTTTTTTAAGATGTGAAAAGTTCATCCTTTTCTGACAAAAAATTGTAATTAAAGAATGTGCCCACATTATGAAATCTTGGATGTTTAATTTAAGATTTTATCCCTGACTATACTCAATATTTAAACATATTTGCTGTTAATAATGCAATAGACTTCATAATTCGGAATCGTTCATGGCAGTCTGTCTGGTATCCTTACCAAAAATATCTCTGTACCAAAGTTGAAAGAGTATAACATAAAATAATTCAGATATGCTGCTTTTAAATTAAAAATCCCTTCGCACTGATATTTCTTGTGATTATTTTGAACTCAATCCTTAATGTGTTTGATATTATAAGAGTAATCTCCTGTTCCTCCATAAATTTGTTATTAGTAGTAGTAAAATCCGTAAAATCCTCTACCTGTCTATATCCAAACTGTAAAGATCAAATATTAAAAAAAAATCCCATTTCACCAATTTAAATAAACAAAATTGTCAGAGGCGCATCCCAATCGCTCCCATGATCCATCGGGTTCCCTATCGATAGGGCGTTGCAAAAAAATAAAAACAAAAGGGCATTCCGAGTTGGGAGCTCCATGAAAGTACAAAAAAAAGAGCTTTTTATATATTTTATTCATGCTAATAGAAGCAATTATGTTCATTTTTCCTGCGGTTTCATTCTTTTCATTTTAATTCAGAGCAGTTTCTTATTTTATTTTATTTTTATAATAAAAGCGATTTATATTTTCTGTTCCAAATGTTTTATTTATTTCTTTCCCTCTTTAAATTTTTGATTTGTGGGCATACTTGAAGCACAAGTCCTTTTGGAACTTTCAATCTCCATTTATAAAATTGGTAGCAGAGCGTGGTTAATTTCTACAGAACTTGAAATCAGCTGAACAGACAAAATCGTCAGCGTTCTTGTAAGAAACGATATGTCGGAACATGAAGTAATCTTTACTCCTAACCAAGACCCGAACACAATAATAAATCAATTGCTGGACAGTGAAAAGAATGAGATTACACAAGCTTTAACAAAAGCACTAGATTTATCTCAAAACTCATTTTATTTAACATTAATAAGAGACACATTATCACAAGTGTTACAGAATTCACCAGAAAGCATTCGTTTTAAATTGAAACCCCACGTAGGGGAATTAGTAAAAAAATACGAAATTTTAATCACAAATCGTCTAAAAAGAGAATCAAAGAAAATGCAAAAAAAATATAAGGATGAGGGACCTGTTGCTTCGCAGACTCCGAATTTGCACACCAACCCAGAGGGAGCTGTAGGACTAACTTGGGATCGAAATTTTGGCGATGAGAATTATAATGCCGGCAATCAATATGATTCTGATTCCCTTTCCTCATCATCCAGTCTAAATTTTGCGAGTAATCAATTTCTTAAACCAATGATAGGGTCTAACGGAAAATCCGAATTTAAAATAATGTGCTTCCACAGTCACTTATGAGTAAACTTCAAAATGTTCATGTGTTCAAATCGTATGATGCAGAATCAATATTTCAGTTTCTAGTGGATCTCTATCCTATCGCCAATCGATATAAGAATGACTTTAAAAATATATTAAGAGCATTAGCGGACATGCACGAGGGAATGGCAGAAAGTATTTTGGTAAATGCAGCCAACTACCCTAATATTTCATTTGATTTATTAAAAAAAAGTATTATAAAAAACCAAACTACAGAAAATCAAAAACTTGTTTTAAGAGCTAAGCATTT